CGTGTAATAAATAAACAATGCTTTATTCCATCTAGCTATCTTGCTACATTGCCACCATCGTCGTCTTCGTCCTCCGTCATCATCCATACTAGTACTCGTACTCGTCAGCAGTCTTCAGTCTCCTCGTCACCAATATCAGAAACACACAAATGTATGGCCCAACATTCCTGCTGACACTTCGACAAGTAATCACCATGATTCTCATCCACGCAGCACAACCATTCCAAATCCAAATCCAAATCCGTATCCAAATCCATATCCAAACCCATATCCATATCCATATCCAAATCCATATCCATATCCACATCCACATCCACATCCACATCCATATCCATATCCATATCCATAAGAAGTCCTGTGTATATTGGTACTTGAAATACGACAACCATGAGAGCGGATGACCCCCGCCTGGAACTTGAAAATTGGTCAGAAGGTTCGCTCGGACACGCTGATCACCTTTGTCTAATAAAGACCCTACACTTCATTATGATGATTTTGAATGGGCTCTCTCAAGATTGTACAATCAAACACGGCATGGCTACATAAAACATAATATGTCAGAAAGGGTCACGCATCTAAAAGCATTCATGCATTGACAAAGTCTCTCAGGCCCGACACTTGAGATACATTGATGGCTAAAAGAATCTCTTTGTAGTCTATTGTATTATGAAAATATACATCAAAAAGTTTCAAATTGATCATCTGGTTCTGTCGAAAGGGTATTGTATGCATATTCATTGATCGGGAAGTAGTTGCCTTGACCTTGTCTATAAAGGATGGGAAGAAAACAGGGCTCAGTATACATATCACCAACCCCAACAAGCCTTCTATGGATATCACTTACGGTCGTCCCATTGGTAGAAACCAGGCCATAGGGTTGTCTCCCATCACTTGCTTGAAATTTTGCCTGTGATCCTGAAATCAATCATACTGCACTTTTCTTGTATGTCCAACACTTACTTGTAGCCCAAGTCCCATGGATTGAAATGTCGATTACGCATGATATCAACACGTCCATTCCTGCTACGTCCCATCTTGAAGTTGGCTTTCTCGTACGTCTCAATAGTCGTTCGATTCTTGACGATTTGCCGTGTGTGGAATATTGTGAATGGTAATAGGAATAAGCCGAAGATGCCAGAAATAAAGAGCAGCAGAGGCCAATTGAAATCAAGACCAAATATACTCTACATCATCATCCATAAGTCTCTTCCTCATGCATGAATCCAGGTGACTGAGCGGAACTTACCATTGGTCCATTCACCATGTCGATGGTAGGGGGTAATGTAGTGAGGAATACGTATAGGCAAAGAAGAGATGCATAAAGGATAAATAGATAAAAGAACTTGTAGTTGAAGAACCCGACACAATTGTTCACCCTATTACCACAGGTTAGCCTCTGCAAGCAACCTAACCCCTTCTCGTACACTTACCATGGACAATGACTACACGTTGCATGTTGAAGACAAAGGAGTCATACCTCATTTAGAACACGTTCATGCCATATTCCAGATTGTTCCCTCAACTTACTGATCCATCTTCAATGTGCAACTAAATGTTCATGCGATAGATGCATTAGTAAAAAGCCATCACTAGATACCCCAATCCTGATATTACCTTTTGCATATCCTGCAATGGTGCGTACGATCGAATTTCTCGATTTGGCATTTCTTACAGAATCTCTTGGCACCACTCCGCTTGACAGTAATGAGAGGATAAACGTTTCGCATATTGACAGCAGCATCATTGGAAGTTGAGGCACGGGCCAAGCTGACCCTGGATTCATTGGCTGCTCCCACATCGAGAATAGCAACACTTGTACGACTAACGCCACCTTCTTCTTCATCACCCTCCTGCTGTGCGTCATCTTCAGGCTGTGGTTGCTGATGATTCAAAAGCTGTACATCTTCTCGGTCATCAAGGTCTTGATCTCGAATGATCTTAATAAAAGGAATATGAGCAAAAGCATATCATGTATGGTATAATCCTTACATCGGCAGGTCGACCGGGAGGTGTGTTGGTCACTTTCCAAAAACTCCATATGCATAAGATAAAAAGCGGCTGGAAAAATACGATATACAGGATGCCTGAAGAAAAGAGAATAGAGCTGTAAGTGCAATCTGATGGCTATGCGTGTGGACATGTTGAAACCTTGTGCTAAATGGCCATCGTGCAAGAGACCGCCACACAGCCGAATGAGATAGGCCCAAAAGCACCAACCAAACACCAACCATAAGAGAATGACGGGAGCCGCTTGTATGCCTCGCAAGCAATTGTGTCGAATGCCGGCTATTGATAGGCAACCTTGGTATTTTAACGCATTGCTGCTCATTGTTGTGTGTGGGGTGCAAGTGGGTTGGTGAGGTTAAACGTTAAAGTCGAGTAAGTTGGCAGTAAAGGAGGAGGAGGAAAAAGAGAAATTGCCTCGACCACCACTGTGACAGAAATGGAAATCCCCTCAACGACTCCCAACAACAACTATGCTTCAACGACCCATCATCCAAGCTCACGTGTCCATGGCTATATCTATACGCTGAGATCCCCATTCATATAGCAAATTCCTCATTGCCCTTGTCACTTGTATCCATAGTCATTGTGTTATCATTGGAAAAACATCTTTGATCAGACCCTTTTCTATATCTCATCCATTGTATTGATATCATTTTGGGTGGTGGATCACCTTCCTAAATAAAGGTATAGTTGTAGCTGTTGATGTTGTTCACAGCCAGGACATCGAAATTACCGAGTCTTTGTGATATCGGCCATAGTAGACTGAGCAATGCTTATCACCAAGGCAACTTACATTGATTACAACATACAAGGCGAGGCTATGGAACGCAATACAAAGTGATGCTAATTCCCGATACTTCTTATACTTGTGATGAATCTTGGATTATCAGAATACCTTTTGAAGGAGGAAGGCTTAAAACATACGATTCGATACGTATCGAAACCATCGATGGAGCCTGAGCCTACTTTGCAGATGCTTTCGAAATCTGGAGCAAGTGGTAATGGTTGGTATAGTTGTCACGACGACTCACGTATCACATGGTTCCACACATCTTTATATGACATGCATCTTTTGTGTACCATGGATCATGTGGCGGCATTATGCAAGATGTTGTGTGCTACCAAACAAATAAAGATTGTATTTTCTGACAAGTTGCACAACAACAGCAGCTTTCCCTTTGTACATCTGGATACGAGTGTAAGGTTATCCATATAGTGTATCTAAACATGGTATGGGTAGCATACCAAGTAACAAGTTCACCCTCCAAAGGCATTACAACAGCGGATGGTTTGGTAAATACCAATTCAGCGAGCACTCTCCGCGTCCTGTTGTTATCGCAACAAACACACGGGAACATTTTCTCTCAATGTTGAATATTTCTCGACATTTTCCCCTTTTCGCTATCGGTTTTCTTCCTCGCTTTCTTCATGATGACGGTGACGAAACCGACACCTGTTGGCCAAAAGGCATTCCTTTGGCTGTTGATGCTCACGGGGATGGCGTTGGTGGTGGTGGCTGCTGGTTCGGCCAACGACATCGATCATCCCAAGTGGGTATCTTTTGCCAACAACAACAATAGACAGCTCCCGGGACGCTATATAATTGAATTCAGCGACGACTACATGGGCACAACAGAGCAATTTTTAGATGAAGTCGAACGTGAACATCAATCATTTCGATGGACGATGGCACATGACTATCATTCAAATCATCAACCTGATAGCATCTTTCGGGGAATTTCAATTCATATGGAGGAACAACCCGGCATTCGTGCAGCCAATACAGCAACAATGTCTGAACATCAAGTGATGCGACATGTCATGGAGAAGCATCTTGTCAAACGCGTCTTTCCTGTGTTTGAAGTACCAAGACCCAAGCTCCATCGCCATAACATCATTCGTGCCCAAGAACTCGATATCTCACCAGAGGTATCAGGACTGCCATTTTCACATGCCATGACACAAGTCAATCGGGTTCACTCAGAGTTGGGTCTTGATGGTGAAGGTGTTTTAGTTGGCATCATCGATACCGGTAAGATGAGGGAATTTCATATGCATGAACACAACGGCTAATGATATACTACACTTAGGTGTGGATTACAATCATCCAAGCTTGGGAGGAGGCTTTGGACCAGGTTATAAGGTATAGGTTGATGATGGTGTGAGATTCGTGAGCTTCAACAACAAAGACTAATACATAGACGACGCCGAAAATGTAGGTTGCAAAAGGATACGATCTTGTTGGCGATAATCTCGATGCCAAAAACCCCAACTCTTTACATCCAGGGAAGACGCCACTCGACACATGTGCAGGACATGGTACTCATGTTGCCGGCATTATTGCTGCAGAAGACAAGAAATACGTAAGTCCTTTTCAATTTCAAAGCTACGGCATGTAGTAATGCATGTTATAGAATTTCACTGGTGTCGCTCCGAAAGCGACATTGGGCATGTGGAGAATCTTTGGTTGCCATGGATCAACAAGCACAGACTTGGTGATCAAAGGAATGATCATGGCATATGAAGCAGGTATGTATACACACACAACACATGACACGTGGATGGATGATGATGTTCCTAACCAAGGACTTGTTTTTAAGGTTGTAACGTGATCAATCTCAGTTTGGGTGGTCCCAACAGCTGGCCTGAAGATCCATCATCTGTAGTAGCTGATCGCATTTCTAGTCGCAATGTAACAGGTATGCTAATTTGGTATACATGCTTGCAACAACATAGGCTGAAGGTCGTTTATTACTCTAGTGGTCGTGGCAGCAGGAAACGAAGGATCAAGTGGCATTTACATGATCTCCTCGCCAAGCACGGGCTTTGATACCATTTCTGTTGCTTCAATTGACAATGAATACAGCTTGCACCCCAATGTGTATGCTGACAATGGCAACCATTTTCGTAAGTGAAATTGAGGATTTACCAAAAATAGTTGACTGAAGCAAACGATTCCCCCCCCCTATTTTCAAGCGTACGCACTTGGTAGCACCACCAAAAGTTTTCCTAATGGAACATTGGTTGCCTATAGCAACACTAGTAACAATGACCATGATGCATGTGAAGGAACGGAACCGGAAAATGAGATTGGAGGTGCCATTGTTCTTGTGAAGCGTGGTACATGCCAATTTGATGAAAAGGCGGGCATTGTCGCCAAACATGGGGCGATTGGTATGCTTCTGTATGACAGCCAAGGCGAGGATACTTTTGTGCCATCCACTGAAACTGCTACAATCCCCGTGGCAGCCGTATCATACAAGGCTGGATTATCGCTGCTGGATGATTTAAAGGCGCAACCTCTCAATTTGACTTTTAACTTGGAGTTGTCAAAGGTGCCTGTTAGCACAGCGGGTCGAGTATCACGATTTTCAAGTCTTGGTCCTACCAGTGAAATGGATGTTAAGCCTGACATTGCAGGTGTTGGTGGCTATGTGTTTTCAACATTACCATTATCACAAGGTGGCTATGGTACATTATCAGGAACGTCTATGGCTTCTCCCTATATAGCTGGTGTGAGCGCTTTATATAAGCAAGCACATGGCTTGAATACCAGCTCGGTTGTTCTTCGTCAGCAGCTACAAAGCTATGCCAAAATGACACCTGTAGAAAGTGGGGAGCATAATAATCCTATTCGTCAAGGCTCCGGACTTGTTCAAGGTAAGTATATATACAACGATGGTGATGAATTTATTGATTGATTTGGATTCTAGCCTATGATGCTATCCAAGGCCGCCTTTTCTTGGATCCTGCAAAATTTAGTTTCAATGACACTATTCGTCGCACACCAAAAACGTTAACGGTGACCAATAAGCATGATAGACCTGTGAGCTATGTATTGAAGAATGTGCCAGGTGTTGCCGTAATGCCATACAACGTGAGCAAGCAAGGATACGCACCTCTTCAACCTGCACAAGACAATGCCGATATTACAGCTACGCTTTCATTTGACGTGGATACGATTTCATTGGCACCTGGTGAATCGCGTGAAATACAGCTATCAGTGGATAGCGTGAATGGAGATATGATCAGCAGTTTGCCATACCCAATATTTGGTGGTTCAGTGCAATTGGTGGATGCCTCTTCTGGTCACGTGCATGCCCATGTACCTTATGCAGGTGTGGAAGGTAACGTGACGCAGCTTCCAATCTTTGGATATGGTTTCCCATTTTTGGCCGATGCAAGTCAGTTAAAACAAGGAGGATTGTCGCTTGGCAACAGCCCACTTGATAAGTTTGTGTTGGATCGTACAGCTCCACCTACATCAGCCAATGCATCTGTTTATGTGCTATCGCGATTCATTACTGGAACAGCGCATATGGTAGCCGAGGTTGTGGATGAAAATGATCGTGTACTTGGCACAGCGTATCAAGCCAATTACCTTGAACGCAACATTATAGGTGAAAAAGGTTTTGTCAATATCAACAGATGGAATGGGTCTTATGTGCCAAAGGGATTTGAGACCGAAGACAGGTTTGTGCCTGTTATGCAAGGCACGTACCATTTAAGATGGCGAGCTCTTAAGATGTTTGCCGATCCCAGTCTTCCAGATAGCTGGGAGCAAGTAACCTCCCCTCAAATTCTAGTCAGCTGATGTAATTAAAAGGAGTACAATCTTTATTCTCTTATAAAGTCACTGTGTGTTACCATCCGTCATTTTGAAGGGTGTCATCTTTCTCCTCATTTTCTCTCTCTCCTTCCCCACATTCTTATGACCGAAGAGCACCAAGAACAACAGCAGATGAGCAAATTGTCTTTGCAAGATCGTCTCTCGGCTCTTGTCAAGGTATTTCAAACCCACCATCGTCAATTGGATCTCTTCAACATCTCACGCGTCTCTTCATTCAGCATCCACAATTCTACTGGTGGTGTGGTCATGTCTGCATGGTGGCAAATGCTCTTTTATACTTCATGTCTGTACTATCGCTACATCCATACTCGAGCTATTACAAGCGAGCCTATGCGGGATCACTAGTATCATATGGAATTGTGATATGGAAGTCGATTGGGGTAGGTAATAGTAAGGGATGATGATGATGAGAGGGTTGACAAGGCATGTTAAAACGATGGTATAGTTTCCCAAGAAGTTTGATATGGAGTTTATTCGCAATGAGAATGTACAGTACTTTGCATTGGCGTTCTATTGGTACTCTTACCAACCGATCATAGGTAAAGGGGAAAAGGGGAGATCAAAGTCAAGAGGTACATGGTCAATAATTCATGCGCGATCTATACAGTGACATTGGTTCCTTTCCTCGTCTTTTCACTCTTCCATATGTTCGCATACATCCCCAGTGGAATTGCACCTACTTTTTTCCCCAAGAACGATAATCCAATGGTCGCCCAGACATGTGAGTCTATCAAGCAATACACCGATTCAAACCATGAAACTGCCATGCAGCTGGCTGCGTATGTGGAAGTCATTGGAGTGATGGGTCAACTTGTTTTGGGTGTTGCTAGGTAACGGATCCACATCCTTTTTTGTTTTATGCGCAACATACTCAACCATGCCTTTAGTTTTCAGACATCCATTCTTGCATTGATTGTTTTTGCACACTTCTTGCGACTCCGCTATTACCTTTCACCATATACTCGAGATGCTATCCACCAGACAACAGCCCAACTCGATCAATGGTTGCTACCACTCGCCAACGACCCAAGACGATATGCACAGATCATCTCCAAGATTTATTCAAATGCAAAGGGTATTATCATCCGTTACGGCAGTGCATCACAAACGTCTACAACAACTACACCAACGACGCGAGATCGTAATGGCCATGCAAGGCTAAATCGACGATGATGATACCAGGCAACATGTATTGAGCGACTTTATACAATTTCCTACATGATGTTAATAGCACTCCCTTTTTTACGTACGATGAATACATTCTGAATTGTGCAATTGGATTCCATGGAGTGGCATTGTATTGATGGGTGAAATGTTGGTGGTTGTCACACAAAAGATAAATCGACGTGAGATATTATCAACAATTCGTAGACAATCCAAGTTTATTCCAGCTCAAGACACGAATAAGACACCATCTCTATGTTTAAGCAGAGATCTTGGCAGCCTTCTTCTCAGCACGGATACCCTTGGCGGGACCAGCAGCAGGAGCCTTCTTGGGAGCTTGGGAAGAGATGACAGCGGAGGTGCGAGCAAGAGCAGCCTAAGCAAAGGGGGGGGAATACCATATTAGAGATACCTATCCACACATTGTAATTGATGTATGATGTATCCTTACCTTGCGCAAATCAGCACGGTAGCCAGAGCGAGCAACCAAGTTGGCGACAGACTTGGCAGAAGCACGGCGAGACTTAGCAATGACGTAGGAGTGAGTAGACTTGGCGGGCTTGTTAGCTTGCTTAGCCTTCTTAAGGGTGACACGGACACCACGGGGAGCAGCAGCAATGTCAACAGCCTGAAGTATATATCGTTTTCGTTAATCGACTCGTTTCATTGCCTTGACCATTGGTTGCTAACGGCAACGTTACCTTGTTGTTAGCAAGACCAGAGTACTTGAAGGTGTTCAAGTTGGTCAAGTTGCCGCGTTCAGCAGTGAACTCGACGCCGTTAGGACGCTTGACGAGGAAGGATGAGTTGTTCTTAACCAAAGCCCAGACCAATTCGGCGCTCATTATCTATCCATATCGTATGTATGTGTTGGCTATCGATACGTTGCGTGCATTGTGGGGAGGGTCGTCGTCATGGCGTGTCTATGTCAACTTACGACTACTTTAAATTTGAACGGAAGAGAGAGAGAACGACTTTGATACAGCAAGCAAAATTTTTGTCGCCCACCGAGGGATTGCCCGCTGCCACCACAAGCCACACCTAAAACGACCCCCCCACGACAACAACGATTCCATTTTACACGAACCCGAACATAACGAAGAGTAACGGGTGTATACAGGTTCACGACAACACACTAGGGTTTTTATCAATGGGTTGGATGTGTCCTTATGCCTATGGTGGCATAAATGATGCATGGAAACCAAAATTTTATTCACGAGGAGGAATCAGCCGTCTAACCATCACAGTATGTTGGTAAACTAGTAATAAATATAAGCATTGATACTTTTAGCAAAACATAGAGCGCATTTCAATGTCATATATGTGTACTTATTAGTGAGCGCGTTATGGATTAGGTAGTATGGGGTTTCCTCTGAAGTTCTAGGAAAAACAGGCATCCGTCGTCCCTACATCAAGATGGACATTAATAATCAACATTGATAGCATATTAAGCATCGATAATCCTCACATGCGTACGTAACCAAGTAGTGGCAAAGGCCTGGTAATGATTTCTTCAATTACTCCAATAGAAGTGTGAGGTACTAGAATAAGCCATGATAATCATTGTCGAGGTCAGAATACTAGGTTAGGTGTAGTAGCAGAGCAAAAGTTGTCTTGGCTTACATACCACCTGGGACAGGTCTATAGGAGACGATGTCTCCCACATAGCATTTTGGTGCTTCGATAGCTTGTGATGACATGTCGATTATGAGAACAAGAGAAAAGAAAAAGATAAACTGTGCATGTGAAATCTTTATGTATGTAGCTGATCATCATGATATCATTTCGGGGTAAGGTCATTGTGAGAAGAATGATGAATTCATCAGCAAAGACTCATTTTGTGATGATCGATGGTAAAGTTAACATGTTGCTGCTTATTCAGAGATATCCTTTGGTGAGGCGTTTTGGACCCATTATGCAGCTGATGCGAAGGATGCTATTGGGATCAATCACTGGCGGATGATTGTATGATGCAATGGTATGAAGAGAGCGTGTGGTAAAAGTGTGATGTATGCTGACTTGGGGCACTTGCTTTTCGATCAGGACGCTAATTAAGGAGGATACACTATGCTATGGAATGGATTACTATGATGAAAATATGGACGTGCTAAAGGTAAACTAAAAAAAGCGGATACTGCAGCAGCGTATTCAACATGAGCTTTTGCATAGACACCGAGTGTGGGTGTGGACCTTTCGTGTATATGGCAATCATTGGTAAATGATGATCCGTTCATTTCTTCAACGCCTACCAACCTCCTCTTTTATTATAGTACGTTGGCTATTCAGGAAGCTACCAATCTTCTGGTCCTTGGAATTATCATGGATGATGCTGTCATTGGATGTCAACATGTCTTCGTGCATACATGGCTATTGTTGGTAAATAGTGATTCGGTTACTTGTTCGAGGGCTAATACTCACATGAAACCTCGCATTGTCATTATCGGTTCAAGTGTAAAGGATATTGTCAAGGCACAAATCAGGAACAATGAAAGGAACGACCTTCTCCCACTCCCGCTTCACAACGATGCAAGGTAAGGCCAACTCCATTTACACTCTCCACACCACTAACTTCTGGCATTGCCAACAATGCACACCGTCAATGGGTGAACAGGTGGTCAATGGCGACACATTCAGCTACAACAAGCACGTGCGCGATCTACCCATGACACAAGCTTCCATCCCAATACAACATGTAAGTTCAATCGCTGCAATTCCTTTTATTGTTCAAGTTGAACATTGTGGTACTAAAGTTCGCGTGTAGGTTGGTGTTGTCTCGTCTATACAAGACCCAATGAGGCGTCGTGTGCATTCCTTCCCGAGTTGTCCACAATGAGAGTTCTCAAGACGTCTTTACATTGCCTCTTTTGGGTATGCTGACAACAAAAGCGTGTGGGTTGGTTTTACTTGTTATCTCACATTGCGTTTATGGTAGGTTGAACATGTTGGATGATGGTACCTCTGGCAGCAACAGGATACGGATCTCAAAGCAAGAATGCTGTATGGTTGGCTCAAGTGGTATGCGTGGTATTGGATCTACAAAGCGAAACCTGTTAATTAACAAGACTTACAGTGAAACAGCAGCAAGACAATATGGATGACGTGGAGATACGGGTTTATTTGATGCAATTATGCTATTGGGAAATACCACAAGGTAAGAGTGTTCATTATGATGGGATTGGTTGGATTCAAGTGGATTTACCACTCACCATACAGTGGCAGAGCCTCATTCGGCGATACTATTATTATCAAGGCTGCACGTCAAGGATGTCATTGTATAGTACTGTGCTCTCCTGGGGAATTTTGGCCCGGAAACAGTGTGACTCAAGATGCGATGGCAAGGCCAATTTGAAAAGGCATCCGCTGTGCACACGGCCTCCATCCAAGTACGGCTATTGATTTCCTTGCCTACAGAGAGAAGGTGGATATCTCTTATGATGCCAATTTCAGGATCCAATGAGAGTATGGTACATATGGTGGCATACCTTGGCGCTGCAGGTTGATTATTGTATTGCCTTCGGATGGTGTATTTGGTTGCAATTCCTTGTGATCACCATGGCTCAGGTATGTATGGCTCTCATGCTTTTTAGGGACCTTTGCTGAAACGCCTACCATTATTATTTAGAGGGACCATTGCAGAGAGCTACTTGTCTTTTGGTGCTTTGGAGTTTACAAGATCACAGCTATGATTGCTAAGTATTGTTGGATGAGTTTGGACAATTGTTTATGGTGCATCTTTTATAGATGAATCATGTCAGCCATGGGGAAATGTTTATGTCTTTGGTGGTGTCAACCTTTATTGCGTCTCGGGTGGTTGGTTACCAGCAACGGGCGATTTCTCCGGAGAATGTCAGTCAATGAACGTCTTTTATGAGTGGATTGTATCAGCAACAAACAACAGCATGCATATCTTTGGTGCCATATCAAGCTTTATCCCATCATCTGGTTCTTCTCGTTATCGGCAATTCGGTGGGCATCCTGAAACAAAGGTCCCTTATCGATTGATCACATCAGCAGCAAGGAACAACTTGTATATCTTTGGTATCAGCAAGCTTTCTATCTCTTGGTGGTTCTGGTTATTGGCGATTCCTTTGATGGATCTTTACAACTATACGCGTCTTATGGATGGATAATGTCATCAACAAGCAATGAGAGTCCGCGTTGACATCTTTGGTGTTACCAAGGTCATTTATGCATCTCCTCAAGGCATTCATCGTCAAGCTGCATTCGATTTCCAATGAAAAACGATTGCCATTCAAATCGCTCTTTAGCCATATGTATGTCACTCCGCAGCTAGGATCTGGTTTGGGCTTTTCGATGCACAATGCTTTCTCGATTTGCATGTGGTCTTGGGCAGCAAGGATTGTCTCGTTGTCTCTTTGTAAGGGTTCTTCGGCATCATGTAAGTATGCAATCTTTGGTGGTTTCAATATTACTCAATCTTCTCAGTGCATATGCCCATCAAGTATCGTTCCATCGCTTTCAAGCCGAGTACCAACGTAGCGGGTCTTATCAACAAGCGGACGATTGCAAAGAATCGGCTTGATTTGGATATCATCGGGATTTCCTGTATATGGCTATCATTGGTAAATAGTGATCCATTCGTTTCTACAACGCCTGCCAACCTCTTCGTTTATTATAGCATGTGGTTTAACTCAGCAAGCTACTTGTCTTCTGGTGCATTGGGATTTCTATGGGTGCAGCTGTCATTGGATGCCAACATGTTGACGTGCGTATGGCTGTCATTGGTAAATAGTGGATGATCCGTGTTTTGGCTCCAATCCCAATCAACATTCTCTTCTATTATTATAGTATGTGGGCTATTCAACAAGCTGCATGTCTTCTGGTGCATTGGAATTTCTATGGATACAGCTGTCATTTGATGCCAACGTGTTTTCATGCATATGGACATCATTGGTAAATGGTGATCCGTTCTCTTCTTTAACGCCTGCTAACCTCCCTTTTTACTATAGTACGCGGGTATTCAGCAAGCTGCATGTCTTCTGGTGCATTGGGATTTCTATGGATGAAGCTATCATTGGTAAATAATTGATCCATTTATTCTTTCAATGCCTACTAACACCCTCTTTCATGTGGGCTATTCAGCGAGCTACTTGTCTTGTTCCCTTTGGATTCTTGATGGATGCAGCTATCATTGGATGTCGACAGGATTTCATTCATACGGCTACCATTGGTAATTGGTGATCCATTCGTTTCTACAACGTCTGCCAACCTCTGCATTTATCATAGCGTATGTGCTATTCAACAAGCTACTTGTCTTATGGTCCTTTGGGATTTCTATGGATGCAGCTATCATTGGATGCCAACATGGTGGATATCAATAAGAGCAGGATGGCTACAGGGAGACATTCCTCGCAGGACCTTTGGAGACCAGGAGCTGGATGGCCAAGGTAAAGGGATGGAATTTGGTACTACATCGGTTTAACCACCATGATCTCTTTCATGCAGTAGTATGCAAATAGCTGCGGGTCGTTTTATGGGATCATCAAGAATCAATCAGCTGCACCACCACTCGTACCCAGATTGGCACTACCCCGAGATCACCCTCCACTCGTAGCGTCATTACATGTCATCCTTTTCCAATATTACATACATGGATATAGACACTTGCTCACCAATAGTGCATTTTTTTGAGTTTGATCAACTATTTAATATTGTGGCATTGTATGAGATGGTGTATATGGGAACCTCAAAGACACAGTTACCCTTGATTTCATGGGTGCGGATTTCATTGTTCGTCGCTGGGAGGATTGTTCACCTCCATGAGTTTAATTTTAACCACCTCCAAGCGTACACCTGCACATGCTAATTTTGTTATGCGTCGCTTTTTATCCAAAGATGGAATTTTCGCATTCGTACAATCTGGATTCAATGTATAGAGTGGGTACCCCTTTTATGATAACTATGGATGTCCATTTATAGTCAAAGCCTTCGTTTTTATACATAATGATGCATACGTTATAAAGTACAAAGACCTAGCGGTTTTATTCTCAGTAACGCATAGCTGCTAGTACAAGTGCGTACGGAAAGCTATGGAAAGTAAGTGTTTACATCGCACCATTTTCACTTTTAACCGTGTACAGTGGATAAAAAGCGACCCAGAAGGAAATTAGCATGTGCAGGTGTACGCATGGTAGTTAAAATTAAGCTCATGGAGGTGAACAATCCCCGCCAGCAGCGAACAAAGAAATCCGCATGGCCCTCACCCTCAAAATCAAGTGACCTTAACCACGAACAAAGAACATGCAACCTTGGAAAAAGAATCAACAAAGAACCTGTTATTCCTAGAAGGAGTTTCCCTAAATAAAAAGAGCTGCCATCAGCTCTCTTTCTCGTTACCTTGATCAATTCTTCGTACATCTTTCTGTTGCCCTCATCGATTTATCCACATCCATACATACAGGTACGGATACACATACACCGCCTTTTTATTGAATCATGAAAGCCGTATTTCTCATTTCATCTTGATAGAATGGCTGCAGTGCCACAGCAGCAAGAGGACATTGATCGAACAGAGGAAATCAACAATGTATTCGGCGGCAATGCACGTAACATACGCGGCTTGAATCGTACATGCGACATTCGCTCTATATTACGCCCTGAGTACCAGTATTTACGGGTAAGTGATAATGATTGATCGAATGGCTGAGGTTATACTTACATACATTTTTTGTCCAATATAGGGTACCTTTATTACCATTGCTGAGCAGCACAACATTCTTTCTCGAGATGCCTATAATCTCATGAACATGCATGTCAGGAGGTTTATGCGTGCCATCGGTGATTATGACGAAGAAGACAATTGGGCACCAAACTTTGCCACGATCAATATGCCAGGCAATGGGATCCAGCCTGGACCCGGTGGTCAACAAGTAATGGCTGGACAAGGTCTCTTAATCCCACCTGTTACCAACCAAGTCTTGTGGACATGGGCATACAAGCTCGTGTCCAACAATCCTACGCTGGAGAATGTGGTAAGTGTATATGCTTTTTTTTATCACCTCACCAAAATCTAATGCCATTTGGCATCTGAATAGGATATCACAAGCCAAGACCCTGCTGCCCGAGACTTGTTGAATACATACACAAATCACTTTCAACCCATGCAACGAAATGCACAAGGCAATGGTAAAACAAGATATCCGCTTTGCCCGTTACTGTGATTAGATGACTAATTTATTGTAATAGCACTCTACGAGCCACCTGCAATGTATCCGAGACTCCTCTCGACATTAAGCGAGCGCTTTGCAAGAGAAGCGGTGAGAAGTAAGTGACAACAAAAAAGCCAAAGTTTATGCTAAGCTTTGACCGTTGATTAATCGCTTATCAACTTTTAAAGACGTCAAGAACATGCTCTGGAGAAACATCCCTGTGTACGTTAGTCGACTGTGTGATGGATACATCAAGCATATGGTTCAATCAGAAACAAATTTTGATGTCTACAACAATCTCAAGGGTTTGGGTAAGTACATCGTGTATGATTGATGGTCTTATACCTATACTAATAACGCGACGTTCACCACAGCCCCTATCATGAGTACTGGTATCATAAACCACCAAGCAAATACACCACCACAATTGGCACCAGCGGATGAACATTATTTTACCCAATTTGTTGACGTCTATCAGTAGGTGTTACTTGGAGATCTCTTTGCTTACGTATATGCTGACGCTATTGATATAGAGAGATACATCAAGCTTGTGAACGGCTTCTCGCTGATGTACCCCTGGTGGAGATGCAAAGTACACCAAGTCGAGGCCTTGGCCCGGTACTGGCCATGCGACTGATGAGATTTAGCATGTGGCTATTGTTGCAAGCCGATGGACTCGATACCAGGAGGTGGTCTATATTGCCATTGGGAAAAACCCAAGTTGGGTTTTTCGGTATCGATTTGCGTATGCTTTGGGCAATCCTTCATTATGCACGTGACCAGGATCAAGATGCTTTGGTACCAGCCATATGTCTAAATCAGGTATGTTGATAAGGTGTACTATTTGCCATTGCCATTTCTAATATCTTTACATTACAATTAGCACGGCAATGTCTTAGCAAAACTTCCATTTGATGCAACACTTCAACCACCCCGGCAGAAAGAACTTTTATGGGAAGCGTTATTTAATATCGATTACGTCCAACGCCGTAGATGGCGTTACTCTGGTAAGCATGTTGGTTGTGGAAATCAAGGTAAATACTAACGTATCAACTTATGTGTAGGCGAATTACCTGGAACTGCAATACGATTTGCTCATTACATGCGTACCGATGGCTTTACAGCCAATGTCATGTTTGAAAGACCTCAACCAAGAAACCTGCCACGTATGTACTTTTAGCAGAAGCACGCTAAATCTTATGCTCACTTTTCTGTTATAGCCTTTTTCCCTGAAATTGCCAAGACGGCTCGTCGCGAGGTGGCGAATAATGCTGATTTGGCTAATATCCACACGGGGATATACATGCTCAATAAGGCCCCTCAAGGATTGAATCAAGATCGCCTTCAAAACAGCCGACTCGTGGGGATAGATCCTGGTAAGTTATTTATAAGGATTTATCAGACTACGATTGTATTGACACCTATATTCTATTAGGAAAGCGCGAGTTTATCACTGGGATTCATCATGAAGAAACCTTAGAAGTACAACCAGGGGAGAATCCACCAAGATTGAGTGCTGTCGAAATTCGATCAAGGCATTATCAACATGCAACGATGGTGCATTGGGTTTACAAGCACACGTTAGCCAATCGACAAAAAGCCAATATGCAAGAGGTCTACGACCAGCTGGCGCAAGAAAGCCCCAATGTACCAAGATTGAATCAATTCAAGGCACATGTTGCCTGTGTGAGCCGCAACAGCAATAGGTTGGTAAATTTTATGGCATGTACTATGATTAGTATTGATAACATTTATCTATTTCAAAGATTGCGAGACTTTTCCTCCCACTTCAAGCATAGGATCACTCGAGGGATTCTTTTTTCTGCACGTCAATCATACCAACAAGTAATGATCAATGAGATTTTGGGAATTTCTCCTCCTGATTCACCAGTAAGTTAAAGTTGCTACATGAAGATTACTATTGCTATGACTATGAACTCATTTATTATCATTTCCTTTAGAGAGAGCAAGTCATGTTCATCAATAGAACATCTAAAGCAAAAAGGAGAGGGATGCGGAGGTTCAGAAGACGAGACATCGGGTGGCAACGGCCTGAGCAAGAAACGATTGTTGCGTATGGAGATGCCAGTCTTGGGCATATGCGTGGTTATGCGCCACTTCCCCATTGGGTAAGCTACATTGATAGTTGTTTTTCTCTATGCTCATCTATATCATTTACTATATAGGAGTTTATCAAAAGACTTTGCAGACAGGCATTGGTCATTTTCATCGATGAATTCCGTACCAGCATCACCTGTCGGCATGATGGCGCAGAATTGCGTCTTTGTTATGACAATCGACGGCTACATTGCAATCACAAGTATGTGGAAACAAGAGTTTCTTCTCTTTGTATATACTAATAGGCTCTTTTATTCAAAACATAGGAAGACGAGGAATCGGGTACAGACTGCCCAAGGTACCAGAGGTCGGAAAGTGTTGCATTGCAAGGACGACGATGGCGCTGTGATTGGCCGGTCGAATCTATGCCAGCAGCGTTTTGCAGTCGGTAGGTTTCTTTGGTTGTACAAGGAAGATCGTTGTTCAGCAATTGATATGACGTTGGTTAGGCAACAACACTTGGCGCAATCTGATTTATGCGGTGAAGCGTTGTAATGAGCACGGGGTAAGTTCCTTGCATTTTTTTGAAGCACCAACTAATATATGGTTGTCTATAGTTCCTTGGCAGAGATGTCAACGCTGCGGCTCAAATGCGGTCCGTATTACGACTGTATATGGAGACCAATGGTGATCTGCAATCTCGTCCTCCCCATCTTAGAAGATAGTCCCCTTGCCCCCCCCTCTGGTCTCAACATACGTGACCGAGTTTTAGATTTTTGGTTGTTGAATAAATAGCCACACCCATTGCTTTAGATTAACGTTGTATTTTATTTCCTGCCTGATGTCAGGTCTTTGAATGCGGCTATGATACAATTCTTGACTTCTTTGTAACTAACTATCAAACAAGATTGCTCGTCTCGTGACATGAGCATCATTTTTTCATCTAAACCAGCATCAAGCTAAAATAAAAAAAGCACTATAAGTTGATCCACATGTCACATGATCTTGCATACCGCCCTTACCTTGTTTAAACATGTCAAAACATGTACCATGTCAATTACAGGAGTACCATTTTCATCGACTTGGTGGAATACATAATCTCGAAAGAGTTTGATAATATATCGATCACCGGTCTCTGACCATCCAGGGTCCATGTCAAATCTATCATTGCGCACACAAAACGGTTGATTTCATTCATGCATATCCCCCAAGTACCCAAATGGATGCACTTACTCTGGTCGTTCGTTGATGAAGCCCATCTTTATCAAAAGTCGTACCAGTCGACCATTCTCTAATTCTCGACTCAATTCGTTTTCAAAAGAGTCATTGTATCTAGGTTGCATGTATAAGTCAATGCGTGGAACGGGTTGCTTTGGGACATATCACACTTACGATTGACTACGATCAATTTCATCCAATACATGCGGCGCAATCATTGCCACCAATTCGTCAACATCCTTGTCTTCTTCCTCTGACGTGATAAGGTAAAGTATGACATCCTTGAGATCCTCAGAATAATCTTGTGATATGGTTTCTATGCATTCGGGAAGGTGCTGATGTGCCATGGGTGATCCGCAAGCGAGCGCCAATATCAATTTGCCCAACGCAATGAAATCCTGCTCACGGTTCTCAGCACTGCAAACGCTGTCTTTGGTCTCATAATCCATCACATCCAATGCTGCCACACAATTGACTCGTATCCTATGTCCAAGTGGTTAATAAAATACACGTTGACATACTCCTAATGCATGTTACCTATGCTTGCTTGTAACAAGGATCTTGCTTGGATCTATGCTCCGTATAGCCAATCCTGCGGCATGTGCTGTTTTGATGGCTGATACAAGCTGCACGATATAGCTCCATATGGTTTCCTCAGAGACAATTGTCTTGCCATTCTTTTTGGTTCGTAGCTCTCCTTGCAATGTCATTTGTCCTTGGGGTGTCATGTACACATCATGCAATGTTCGTGCACAAGGAAAATAGTCGTAAACAAAAACGAGAGATGCGTCTCCAAAAGCTCTTGTAGTGAATGCTTCGTGGATGGATATAATGTTGCAATGCTGCACCTTTCGCCATTGTTCCACAAAACTCATAGCACGCTCCTTGGACAACCGGAATCCTGTTCCGAATACCACCGATGTCAGTTTTTTTTTCATTTCATACCATCTTTCCCCCTCCCACCAACGTACCATCAATCCTATATAATACATAAGTGCGTCCATCTGCACTAGAAACAGCCTTGTACACAGATGTGGGATATCCAAAGAATGAGCTTACTTCTCCTGGCATTGCCAATTGTGAATGTTGAAGAGGATACAGGGAATGATACACATGCACTTCTTGTGGTAAGCCAAGATCATGAGCTACATCAACATGCCGATTAGCGACGTAACCTTTTGCCCATTTTCATTCAATCCAGCGTACCTGGTGCCGACATGAGCGTTGTCTCGTTTCGTTGTGTAAGCTCTTCTCGTAGATTATCGGGCATGAAGAATGATTGGATGGTGCGGTGGTGTGGAAGAAGCCTCGAAACAGGTGGAGCATTAGATGCGTAGAGGTGATATTGTAACTAGATGATCGGCATGTTGGTGGTGTAATATGAATAATAAATGCTTGATCCACTTACCGGTTGACGAGCAAAAACGGGTGCATTCATATAATAATAGGGATCAGGTTGCATCATCCCCATACTTGCCATCATTTGTGTAGGTGATTGTGCTTGCTCTGGCGATGTAGATCCCTATCCAATGGGTCAGCCCAATTCCCAAAACGTTGCATAGAATCCATACATACATCATTGGATAATCCAAAATTGGAGAAGCTATTCGTCATATTTGACATGTCTTGCGTGTATCCAAAAGACTGACTATCGGTGGATGTGCTATGAATGAATGAAATGCAAGCTGATAAGTGATGGATCATAGCATGGTTGGATGTGGATACATTACATGCGGCTTTTTGATTCGTGCATGTCTGATTGCTGCATGGAGATTGATGATGTGCCCGTAGTCCCTATACATAGTAAGCAACTGAAATCACTAATCGCTGGAAAAAAAGCCCATGATCACCAGGAATGCCTAGCTCACCATTAGGTATTGCTGTTGAATAATAGGTGAGCGATGAATCAAACATGTAGGGGTATGTGCATCATTACTCACCTGCTGTGGATGTTGTTGTTGCTGTTGCTGCTGCTGTATTATTGCTGTTGCCGTTATTGGTGGTGACATTATTAGCCAACGGTGATGCAGTCATCGATGAAGGTGCCGTTGTTGCTGCTGATACAGTTATAGGTGTCGATTTAGGTACAAAAACGGGTGCATTGATGCTTTCTGCTGACATGGATGAAAAGACGCCTGATCCTGTGCGGGGAAGACGCACCTTGCCGTTGCTATGCATCCCCAAATGTGTGAGTCCACTATGCCATTATGCATTCTTTTCCTCCACAATGTCGCTCGCTTTTTGTTTTTCCCCATGATCCATCTTACATTTCAGCCTTTTCCTGGGGTGGTGATGGTTTGTTCTATAGCGACAATAAGTGTTCATTTCATTGATATCTCTGTTGCTATACACAACAACTCTCTCGAAATAAACGCACCGCTTCATGATTGAACTCGCACCCTTTTCCTTCAAATTTACAAAAGCCATGTATGATAACATTTCGACACAGCCTTTTTGCGTTGGTGTTGCCTAATAAGAGAGAGATCGCAGTGCAATGTGAGCGTTCATGGTATCTATGCAGGCGAAAAAAGACATATGCACACCTTTGGATACGGGTTTTGAGGGTGGCTTGTTGATAGTCGACGTTGTTGAGCTGTTGACGGTAGCATCGGAAGGAGCGACAATGGGGATTGCAGATGGGGATTGAGGCGGGATAACAATGTGGTTCTGCATTATATATTAAAGGGAGACACGTTGGATACTTTTTTCAGTTGTCGCTGCTTTTCTAGAGCCGGCGTTTATAGCAAGTCGAGTGAAACCAAGTTCCGCTGGAGACAAGCGTGATCAGAAGGGGAGGTGTGTGTGTATGCGTGGGGGAGTTCAAGGAAGCTGTTATGTAAGATCTCCTACATACATGGCTCACTTTACTAACATGTCTGTTCACATCCACCCCCTTTCTCTTTTATCCACACTCATTGCCCGGAATTGGGGAACAAAGGATACGCAGGTCATCATTATCGTTACTATTTTGTGTATGGCGTGTGATGGATGTGATATTGTATACGTATCCTGAAATGAAATGAAATGAATGGATGAATGAGTAAATGACATGTGCCATGGGGGACTATCTCTTTGTGCAAGCACGAGCATCACACCCGTTGATAGAACAAAGACTATTACCAGCAATCGTACAATTCGTGTTGCAACATGTGACGGTATCCCTGATCTCCTTAGGCTTTTTCTGGCACTTCATTGGCATTTATTCCTCTTTCGTTCCTTTTTCCACTTCTTTCACTCACTACTGTCGCTGCCTTTATCCCCTCTCGCTCATCCATCCTTTACTCTTTGCTTGTCGACAGCCTTCCATGACACACATCTTTGAACAACCCATGCTCTCCTTGTCTCCCCAATCCATCTACAGAATAGATGATGTTGATGTTGACGACTTGAGTGCCATGTGGAATGGTAAACATTTTGTTTTGGCCTTCTTCTTCTTCTTCTTTGTCATTGTGATTAACAATGGATCCATATAGTGTTCAGCAAGTGTAAGGCACATTTACAAAATGGAGAACGGCTGGAGAACATGTCGTGGCGTCTTTGGTATCATGAACGACAATCGTTGCGACAACAACAACAGCAACAGCAGCATGATTATTTTTCCTATATTCCACCTCAAAGCTCGTCTCGAACCTGTTCACCCGTATCGTCTGCATCCACAAGCAGCTCATCAACCTGCTCATCCATTAAACGTTTTCTTTCATCTCTATCACCTGGCCACGATGTGTGGTCGCACCAGCAGACCACTCCCCCCAATAGTAGTCATAATAAGCTCAACGCCTGTAATGCCTCTGCTACCACCGACGCAGTGATCACGAACCAAACATCCAATAACGGCTCTTCCGAGTCGCATGATCGCCAAACATGGCAGCAGCAGTTGCCGCGGACTCAAGACACCAATCATCAACACAACAACTGCATCTACAACCCGCCATCCACTCAACAAGTAACATCACAACTACCACCACCCAAAAATCATCGTCAAATCATGCTGGTTAATGATGAAGATGATGATGATGAGGATGAATACGATGAGGATGACGATGTTGACTTTTTACTTGACGACGACGATGATGATTTTCTTGACGACGACGAACTCATGGATGACGATGAGATTTTAATCACACCTTCCTCAACAGCAAGTCATCGAAATAATAACAATGATGATCGATTTACAAAGACACAACCTCGTGCACCCACACCACGACCCTCTTTGTTGTCGGCTATGCTGCAACGACAACAACAATACCGCACAAAGTCAACTACTGCATCATCCTATACCATCGCATCTCCGATCAAGCCAGCCCCATCATCATCATCCACCTCGTCAGCCGACCATCACCATTTTTTACGTAAAGAGCTTTCCGAAAGTCTCAGACGCAATGTTCTCTGGGAGCACATTCAACAAAAAACACTCATTTACCATCATCCACGCCAACCTCTTAGACGTTCTAGTATTACTACTACCTCCTATCAACAACAGCACTACCATCATCATGGAAACAATCCACCTGAAAATGGGTGGCTGGAAAGCTTTCATGGTTGGTGAATAAAAAATAAAGCAGAGCTATGAGTTTTTTACCCACCCTATTATATTAACTCTCTCTCTCTCTCTCTATCTCTTTTTCTCTCTTTTTTACCGTGGGAGCTTGGCTGCATATGTATGTGAGTGTTTCTTAATGGGATGTCATATGCCTTGGGGGAGCCAAGGCATCACCCGCGTGGCAAATAACAAAAAGGTTTTGATATGCGAAATACTGCATATGGTAAGCATGTCCGTGGGTGACCCATCGGTGCCACACTTGGGCACAAGCAGCTGACACCCACAGGGTCAACGTGATAAGCCAATCATGTTTGGGGGGTATTGTAACAAAGCACCCGAACTTTTTTTTGATGTCATTTCCCACACGTTATCCAAAGCAGCACATGGAAAAAGAATTCCTCTTTCTCTTTCGATCGCCCTCCGGTCTCACTTTATTTGGTATCCCTTACTTGTCTAGAGCCTGTAACAATATCAACATTCCTTTTGGCCCATGCATAACATGTTGTTGTGAATGATGTGTATTATGATCCAAAACAAGTACTCAAAGCATCGACGACGGAAATTCTCGGTAAAAGTGATATTCTTTTTGTATGCCGAGCATCCGGCCCAAGTATTCTATCTAATGCATCACTTTTTTTGGGAATCAGCTCTTTTTTAGTGCAGCAGATGCATTGGAAATCAAATTGTAAACAAGGGTGCGGCATTGTAGAAGATCGCTTTTCTTTGAAACTTTTGCATATATATCACACTTGGGGATCATGCATTGCGTTGTTCTGTATTAGAAAGAAAGAGAGAGAAAGAGCAAAGCACAGGGTGCGTTGTGCCATGTGCCTCTCCATCATAGTTGGCAGGGATAAACCTTATTATCCATTCTGTGTAAGCTTTCACCCCCCCACACGCACATCACACATACGTATTCGTATTCTTACAACTGACAACTAATACGATATCATTGTCAGTCGGGCATTGTGGATAGATCGGAAAAGATGTCAATGGGTGCAATGATTGGTTGTTGTAAAGAGAGGAGCAGAAGGATAAAGTGTGTATATACGTGATCTATTTGTGGATCGTTCAAGCATGAGTTGCAGATACCGGGAACTCATATACATGTATGTATGCATTTGTTATTGGCAAATGGCTATTAGAGTTGGAGGACCCAAGCATGGATGTGGTATCCAAAGCAACACGGTAGCAATGTGTGTGTGTGTGTGAGAGCGTGTGTGGGGTGACCAAAAGATTTGACAGCGCCGCCTAAAGCCCTTGTGAGTAAGGTCCGAGACCTCTGGCGGTAGTAAAAAAATCTTAACAAAGTTAACTTGTTCTCTCTCTCTCTCTCTTTCGCTTATTCCAATGGCTACTCCTCTCACCCATCCCCTCATCAACGACGGCTGGTTCATTGAAAAGAACGGCCAATGGCCTGGTCAAGGTAGGTCAACCTGCAATTCAGTTGTTGCGATCGCGACTCGAGTAGGAGCCACACGACATATTAACTCGTTTTCTATTTCTTGTTACAATACAGCCATGGCTCTCAAGGTTGAGGAAATCCTTCACGTTGAAAAGTCAAAGTTCCAGGATGTGCTCGTTTTCCAATCCTCCAACTATGGCAATGTCTTGGTTCTTGATGGTGTTATTCAGGCTACCGAACGTGATGAATTCTCGTAAGTGTGGTGTGGTATTTTCATGGGCGAGATCATTATCGATATGCAGGCATTGATTGACACGTGAATCGCCTGTTACAGTTATCAGGAAATGATCACTCATCTTGCCATGAACTCGCATCCCAACCCCAAGAAGGTAAGGAAAACATGATGGATGGGAGGAGGAGGAGGATGATCCCTGATCACGTAAGAATTAGGTTCTCGTCATTGGTGGTGGTGATGGTGGTGTCCTTCGTGAAGTCGTCAAGCACGATACTGTCGACGAGGTTACCCTTGTTGATATCGATGAAGCCGTTCCTCGTGTCTCCAAGAAGTATCTTCCCAACATGGCCATTGGTTTTGAGCACCCCAAGGCTACCGTTCATATTGGTGATGGTCTTGAGTTCTTGAGAGGCAAGGTCAACATGTATGATGTTATCATTACCGATTCATCTGATCCTGATGGTAAGGTTCATCGATGTGTCATCATCATCATGGATGGGAGTAGTGACTTTGTATGCATTGTTGTTATGATCATGTAGGTCCTGCTGAAGGTCTTTTTGGTCCCGAGTTCTTTGAATTGCAAAAGAAGGCATTGACTGAGAAGGGTGTGTTCAGCACTCAAGGCGAATGCATGTGGCTTCACCTTCCTTTGATCAAGAAGGTCAAGGATTTCTGCAAGGATCTCTACCCCGTTGTCGATTATGCTTACACCTGTATCCCCACTTATCCCAGTGGTCAAATTGGTCACATCATGTGCTCTAAGGATCCTAACGCTGTCTTGCGTGAACCTCTTCGCCGATGGACCCCCGAACAAGAAGACAAGTTGTGCCGTTACTACAATGCTGAAATTCACAAGGCTGCCTTTGTTCTTCCTCAATTCGCCAAGAAGGTTTTGAACGAGTAAACTAATATATATTTCTTCCCTCTTTATCTCGTCATTAAAAGATCTTTAATATGAACGTGTTCTTTTTTATTCATTGTGAGACTTGTACAAACAACAACCCAGATAGGTTGCTGCTGCATTGATATTCTATATAAGTGTTCATCTCAGCCACCACCTATTTTTCCTTTGTTCCTTTTACACACCATTCTTTCTCTTAAATATGGGCAGAAAACAACTGGAAGCCGATATCCTGGACGCTGCACCTCCTACGATTGAACCGGGATCGAAACAACGGTATGCTCGTGTACTTGGTCCAAGAGGCAATCATCAACATGAAGTTGAATTCACTGACGGCCATCGCACGCTCGTCACCTTGCAGCCTCGGTTTCGTCATATTGTTTGGGTAAAGCGAGGTAAGTCAACGATACGCACATTTGACGTATGTTGTTAATGCATGTGATACCTAGGCCATTTTGTCCTTGTGGATCCATCCATTGGAACAACATCTGAAAAGGTTGGTGGAGAAATCATCTTCGTCTATTTTCCTCAACACATCAAGCAACTTGAGCAAGCTGGTCAATGGTAAGTTCCAGAAGAAAGGGGTTATCAAGTATATTTTATTGACCAACGTTTATGGGATGGGGGGAAACAAAAAGGCCTGCCGAGTTTTCACAAAAGAAAAAGAATGATGAAGATGAAGACGACCTGCTCTTTGTCAACAACAACCGGCCTGTCATGTCCGAGACCGAGAGTGAATCAAGTGATGAAGAATAAACATTGGTAGCTAGTTATAGGGGAAAACAAGCACATAACCATACATACACATACGCATACATTCAAATGTAAATATATCCAATCTTAGCATCTTCCTCCACCATCCCCAAAATAGATTCAATGTATATTGTCATGTTGTATACTAGATTTACAAAAGCGAGATTGAGAGAGAGTAAAAGTAAAAGAATGGGCATCTCATGCTGTGGCCAAGCTGAACACGTGTAATCCAATCATCCAATCGCCCACTGTAATAGCCATCATCGAGTATAGCAGTGATGAAATGATAAACATTACTGCCATAATAAAATTCGCCTTGCCCCACCATGCTTCGTAACGATTACGACTACCACTGCAACAACATGCTCCCAAGATCCAAAGAGGTGGGCAGATCCTGTGTAGATAGATGGATCCCCCCAAAGTTAGACTTTCTTTGTTGAGAAGGACGACCTAAGCCTTATATATCTTACCATCCAAACAAAAAGAACAATGCCGCCAGTGGGAATCGGCGTTCGGATGAATCAATGAAATAGCGTTGCTGTCTTTGTTGTGGAAGTTGTTGTGGGATCGTCCATCCACCTGGAAAATAGCTTTGATGTTGATGTTGGGGAATGGGCATTGTCTGATAATACTGCTGCTGTGGTCCACTCACAAGATGTTGTTCCTGGTGATGATGATGATAATACGTATGATGTGGGTATGGTTGCTGTGGAGATGACACTCCTCCTGGATACATCCCTAAAGGTGGTGGTGATACTGCCTGGGGTAGCGGTGTCGAAGGTGCCGAATCAGCTATCGTCGACAATGGAGGTGCAGATGGTGCCGTAGATGGTGTCCCAGGTTCATTACTCGTTGTCGATGCATGTGCACTCGCTTGTTGCGACGTCAAGTTCGGCATAAAAGCTGGATTGTAAGCTGTGTTTGCTGCTTCCGTGTATGGTGGTGGCGCTTCATCGTGATCGGGTGGGTTATGCATTTGGGCCATTGGGTATACAAAAGAGACGTGAAAAGCGATACAAGTCCAACAACATGCAACAATATCCCTGCCCAATTTTGGGTGTCTTGTTTCAAGCCCTGTCGTCATCCACCACTGCTATACCTTCATGTTACACATTCGCTTGGATATTGTCAATGGGATTACACATGCCAGGGCAATGTCTTGTAACTGTACAATAGGTACAAGAGGTATCCATCGCAACAGCATCATCATCGGTGGGTAAAAGTGTATGCATTATGTATCTCCTCTCGATTAGATCCGTATCCTGAAATTATGTATCTCTTCCCCAATGTATCAAGATAGCTATGAAATATGACATGTCCTGGCATAGAAAAGCCAAATAAAGCTTGGTGAGCTGTTGCCCCAAATGCTGCGTCGTGTCCTAATGGGGATCACATTTCCGTTTTAGTAAAATTGGTTGCCACCCAACCGTCGCTCTCATGTTGTTGCAACCAATGTCCTAATTAGGAAGTGTGTGCCGACGATCAACCAAATCACTCTTCACCTTGCACGGAGAATTGACCTTGATACACGCGATGGTTATACTCCTTTTTCCCGACTTGTGGAATTATAAAACACTGGCCATGTCGTTTTGATGGTCTGTGATTGCCACAAAATGGAGCCTTCCTATCATCAGATATGCCTATTTGGAGTGAGTGGCACGTATACCATTATGGTGTTCGTTGCCTGGAGAAAAGAAAAGATCATTGATTGTGCTGACAAGGGCTGTAGGATTCCATAACCCAGGTACAGCACAAACCATGACAACCTAAAATAGCGTGCTAGCTTGATCATTAACCAAGTATTCAAGATGAGCTTTGACACAACGCTATCTGGCTTTGGGGCGAGTCTCGCTGATGTAAGTAAAGATGCCGATGATCCACCCCAATGGCTGCTTACATATCGTATTGCAGATATACCAACGAAAGATGGATGTTGTTAATCGTGGATATGCAGGCAAGTATATGGGAGAAGTGGTGGATCACGACAATAGCATAGCAACGTGGCCAACATTTGATTGTATAGGCTACAATACTGAATGGGGTGTGCCTATTTTGCGACAACTACTACCAACGGTGGAGAGACAACGTCAAACGGCCGCACAGCTGCGATTGATCATTATTGCTTTTGGTGCAAATGATGCAGCTTTGCCAAATGCACAGCAGCACTTACCAATCGATCGCTTCAAACAAAATCTCGATACGATGATATCCATGATCAAATCCCCTGATTCTCCGCATTATAATCCACAGCTGGGAATTATGCTTGTGACACCACCACCTGTCAATGAATCTCAGTGGAAGCAACGTTGTGATGAAAAAGGAGATCCAATGAATCGTACAGCTGAGAATGCAAAGCTGTTTGCGCATGCAGTACGCACATTGGGTGAAGAGCGAGGTGTAGTGGTGGCAGATTTTTGGTCAAGGTTAATGAAACGTGCCGGTGGTGATGGTGGCGACAACAAGTTATCCGAGTTTTCGACCGATGGTCTGCATCTTAATGCCAATGGCAACCACGTAACATAAAACAAAGAAACATGTGATTCTTCTTTGGTTTATACTTATTGCTCCTTTATCCTTGTTTAGGTCATGTATGAATTGCTGATAGAGACGATTGAAACCTTCTTTCCAGAGATTCATCCAAACAACCTTGAGATGGATATCCCTAATTTTCGTGACCTACCCAGTCAAGGCTTTGAAAGCAAATTACAATTTCCTCTGCTCAAGAAATAAACATCCGAGTAGACGGCATCCATCCTTATCAATCGAGTTTTTGTGTGTGGTGCTTCTCTTTCTTCTTGTACATAAGCATCGTAGCTTAGCATTAGACGTCATGAATTATCCACATCAACCTCACATTGAATACACCCATCAAACATGGGTAAAACCAGCAACCATGACACTGAAGGAAGGCTACATGCCCTTGACAGATTGGGATGTGGTCATGTTCAAATCGTATACACCCATGCTACTCTTTTACACAAATCCAGAGCAAGCTGCTGATTTCATGAGCATGGATACTTTAACCGAATCGCTATCAGCCATATTGGTTGATTATTACCCGTTGGCGGGTCGACTTGTAGATGTTGGCCGAGGGCGTGATGCTATTGATTGTAACGATGCGGGTGTTTTATATCAGGTAAAATGTAACAAGAGCATGGTGATGGTTGTAGTAGTAGCCTAATCAATGCCCAATCTATAGGAAGCAGTGTATCACGCTGACTTGGCCGACTTTGAGAAATCAGGGTACCTGCCAAATCAACTAGATTACCATCGTTTGTTCCCTATACACTTTTATACACGGCCTGAGGATCCTTTGGTAGCTGTACAGACCACACGTTTTGCAGATGGTGGTGTTGCACTAGGGATCATGATCCTACACAAGATCGCGGACAAGTATTCAGGTTGTCTTTTTCTTGATGCTTGGGCAAAGCAAGCTCGAGGACAAACATACAACAAGGCCAACTTTTTCGATCGACAATTATTAACCATTCCTGAGCATACGGTTGTTACGGATGAAGTACTGGATCATTATCGTGAGGAACATCGGCTTGTGGACGATGAAAAAGTTACGCTTACAGCACGTGATCAAGATCAGCCAAAGTATGCACGTACAAGTCCCCATGGTCCTGCACCACTGAAAAGTGTTATTTTGGAATTTGCATCGGATGGCTTACAAAAGTGCAAGCGTGATGCCCATACCCAGGATATGATTCTCACACGTAACTGGCTATCCACCAAGGAAGCACTGCTTGCCATGTTGTTGCGAGCCATTGTTCGATCCCGTGACATACCTGATAATGAACCTGTTAAGATGGTGGTTGGCGTCAATGGTCGCTCCAAAATGAAGAACATGGATTTTTATTTTGGAAACTGGATGATGTAAATTGCATACATTCCTTTAGCTATGCATACACACACACACACACAAGCTGACCTATAGAACTTTTGATTAGCACACGCGCTGTATCCACAACCAAACAGCAAGCTAAGGAATCGGATCTAGTTTGCCACGCTCTTCAATTTAGGCAACAAATGGCTACCCTAAAAGCATCCTTGTTTCATGGTCTCAGCAAGCTATATACCATCCATGATGACATGACAGTGCATTATCTTTCCTATCAGCCCAATTCAAGCACGCACGTGACAGCGAGTGACGTGTCAAACCTGCCATATTGGAAACTTGATTTCGGATACGGCAATCCGGACCGTGTACGAGGATACATTACAGCAGGTGGCGATGGTTGCCTCGTGTTATTTGGTCGAAGTGGGCAATCCAAGGGAATCATGTACGACGTACAAGTCCAAATGAATGTTGATGCTATGCGTCGCTTTATCAACGACCCTGAAATTAACAAGTACACGCATCGAATCCTTTGTTGAATATCCTAGTGATTAATTTTTGGGTGCTTTAATGTGTATTTTGATGACATTACATATAATAGTGTGTGTATGTATGTGTGTGTACATGGTAGATGGGGAAAAAAGAAAAACTCAAACGACATTGGTATGTTGCATGCTACAGGATGTGACGAAAGAAAACAAAGAGCTGTGTATAGTAGGTTGCCATGTGGTATACGTGAGATGTTGGTGAAATTTGAAGAAGAAGGGTTATCATACAGTCTTATCCACCAATGCTTTTGTCGAAAGTCGTGTGATACTTGCATCGTCGCTTTCATCCATCTCAACTGGGGCTGGCATGTACCCCTGGCCACGATACTTTGCATTGTCGATATGCTCATTCAACACACCTCCGATACGTCGCAGTAATCGGGATTCATCCCCTGCTGTGGTTGTTGTTGCTGCTGCTGCTGCTGCTGCTGTCACTACACCTCGTACAGCTGAGTTGGTCTCCGCTTCAATGCTGTCATGGTGATGATGACGATATTGTCCCCAACTCTCTTGCTTGGTACAATCAAACGGTAAAAACTTTTCTTCAAGATATTGTCGTGCACGTGCTGCTTCAGATAAGGTATCAGCATCTGAAAATGTTGACTTTGATGCTCGCTTTCGTGGTCTCAAAGGTTCACCGTCTAGCAATAATTCTTCAAGCTCATGAACAGCGTCGAAATTAGATTCCTTTTTCTAATAAAAAACATCAAAGTTAGTATTCAGAGAAATCCACATCTTGTTCCTTGATCACCATTTTGACATCCCGCTCGCCTCCCAACTTTTTGGGCGTATGTATCTCCCCATCTCCTTCCTCTGTACATTACTTACACTAGGAGTAAAAGGCGGCGTGGCTTCTTTGTTCTCCAACTGATTCCACTGCAAACCATGAAACCAAGGATGTGCCTTGAATTGGTCAAAACCTCCAGGGCCACAGCCTAAACGCTCAAACGGCGATCGGTTCAAGAGCTAAATGTGTCGGTGACACAATGTATTAAATTAAATTCACTTGCTAATGAATGACATGAGACAAAATAAAGCCGTACCTTGGATATCAAATCAAGACATTCTTCAGACACATGTTGCTGAGCATCTTCCGGAAAAGTAAGAGGATCATTGAGAATGGCGTCCACAACATCGTCACTGGTTGAACCTGCAAATGGGCGCTAACCATGGCTGTTGGTATGTATACTTTTCCATCGCATCGTCATTCCTTCTTTCATTTACCTTGCCAAAGAGTAATTCATATGCCATAATACCCAAACTCCACCAATCCACGGATGTAGAGTAACCACGCTTATCCAAAGTCTCTGGTGCCATATATGCTAATGAGCCTGCTTTTGACCATCGCAGGGGTCGCTTATCATTGAACTGTGTAGCAATATTGAAATCACTGAGATGAGCATGGCCGTCCTCGTCCAACAAGATGTTGTCTGGTTTAAGATCGCTGTAAATCCACAACAATCAATATGTGTCATACATCAACATCATCCATCCATATCATCCTACCGATGAGCAATGCGTCGTCGATGTAAATACGCTAGTGAGAGAGCAATCTCGGCGACATAAAAGCGTACTTGAAGTTCACTGAGTGGGCCGTTGCGTTCAAGTTGGAATCGAAGGTCACCGCCAAGCATAAGGTCGAGAACCATGAACAAGTGGTCATCATCCTGGAAGGCGTATCGCAAATTGACAATGAGTGGATAGTTGATGCGTTCTAATAAACGTCGTTCGGAAATCATGTTGTTGGCTGCTCGAAGTTCGACGCATTTGTCCTTGTGAATACATTTCAGGGCGTACTCGAGCAAGGTGCCTTTGTGTTGGACAAGGTGGACTTTGCCGAATGCGCCTTTGCCAATGACCTTTTCAATAGCATTTATTGTGTGAGTGTAAACGTGGGAGACAAGTGAGAGTTGTAAACGCGTGTCGTTACCCGTAGTAGATAGAAATGGAAAAGCTCAACTGTAAAAAGAAAGAGAGAGATACATAGAGGGATATGCATGATATGAGAGTGAAATTCCCACCATAGCTGTCAAACGTCATACCTTGATTCGAGAAATCAAGTTCCTCCCCTTTGCAGCACACTGCTCCCATGGATCAAGGTTAGCTGTAAAGAGAGAGAGAGAAGAAGAAGAGTAAGAAGAGAAAAAGAACCTGTAAGCTTTAATTGAGAACTATATGAAATGAGTCGCTTTCCTCTTTGGATGCTCTTAGATACCCAGCTCCGCTGGTTGCCTGGTTACACTAAGCTTCCAAGTGATATCGTACAACTCATCCCTTTTGAATGGTGCCTTTCTCCCCACCTCTCTCTCCCTCCCTTTCATATCACTTTGCTCTCCGACAACAACCCTCCCCCCTTATGTCCGTGTGCGTGTGTGTGTGTGTGCCTCGTTATTCTCTTTTGCCATGCATCCCGCGCTGAATATTCACGTGGAAGATCATCATTACATAGGTGATACAAGAAAATAAAATGTATTTTTTGTTGTGCGTATAAGGATCAAAGAGCAATGCCCCACTCTAGTGTTACGTTGATGATACAACAAATCATGTAAATGGCGATCATCCATATTCCCAGCCTTTTGTTGATGTAATAGTTGTTCAGGTTCACCACCACTAGCGTGCTCAGTAAGACCATAATGAGTCCTGCTGCTGATACAAGGATCGTTGGTGCAATATCCAATTGGTATGGTTTACCGGTCTTGAAAATTTGGTACGACGATGAGACACCCACACCAAGCACCATGTCTAAAAACAGCGTTAATGAGACATTGCCATATCGCTGCTAACATCTTCTACTTGTACTTACTCAAAAGCGGACCTGCATAACATGCTGAGATGGCCATTGTAGGGAATCCCATCTTGGCAATCGCCGTGTTGGCCACAAAATCACCAATGCTGTTGCCCTTTTTATCCATGGATGTCAGAAGGGATAAATCAATCACGTCATGCAATAATGATTCATACATACCAAAGCAAACACAGTCAATCCCATGATGGCTTCACTAATGTCAAAGATCATACCAAGGGCCTATATGCACAAAGTGTCAATAGAAAAGATACACATACAAACTAATGAATGGATATACCTTGAGTAGGCCCACCATATTGTTGGCAAGGAAAAAGATCCAGTTGAGCGCAACGAAAAAGCCGGCAAATGATAACATCCAAGACCACTTTGGTGGTTTATCCGCATCCGTTCCAATAAACACCAAACCTGCCAGCATGCATCCTGCAGCAAAACCAAATACGATGTGCACGGGTGCAATAAATTCGTTGACTACAATAAAGCGGTGTGAATGATTGCATGTCACCTTCTAATAGGATCGATAACGTGTTACTTACTTGCCATGACAACAGCAAGGAATGTGGTACCACAAACAGCTTGCAAAGCAAGGAGCCAACGACACCAAGGTTGTTGCTGTTGCTGCTGGAATTCATCTTGCATTAAGGGGTCATCAGCCATGATATCTGAATAGCCATCATCGGTAGCAACGGACAAATAAAGATGCTTTGCAGGATCATTATCTTCATCTTCATCAAGAATTTGGAAATCATCCACTTGAACACCGCCTTCCTGTTCAGCCACGGGTAATGTAAGAGTGAAGACAAGGACAAGAGGCACGGCAATAAGCGTGCTGAGTTTACAAAACCATGACTTTTCGCACCAATCTTGCATCGTTGGGAAAAGTGCTTGACGCACGCTATCCATAAGCTGTGGGCAACATGCTGTGAAACAGGTTGTGCATGAAGCTCGAGACTCTGGTAGGGCAAAGTGTGGTTCGAGGGCACGTTGAACAAATGGCAAGTCGCCTTGATTATCGACATGAGAAAGGACAATGGAAATGGAACGGTGATCGGGGGAGTGATGATGAGGAACATAATACATGGATGGCGACGGGCTGACAGCTGGGCTTTGGCGTGCTGACACGTAGATATCATCTTCGGTGTTGGCAATGCTCGGACTTGGGGGTACATGAAGGGATGTGCTTCCCCTGCGCAATCTCCTTGGTTCATTGGGTGATGATGATGGATGCATTGCATTATTATTGTTGGGTGGAGCCAAACGGATCTCTGGAATCGTAAGATCGGTACCACTGCGACACACTTCTTGTTCAGGTAACTCCATCATTGGACATTGGTTGTGTTGGTTTGCTGATAAATAGGCAAAGTAATCTTCAGCCAATCCAGTACTGCTCCCCGTGCTATCGGGTGACATGGGTCCATTGTTGCTGTTGTGATGATTATTGGGTCGTTGAGTTGTGAGTAGGTGATCATTGACAGTGGATGCTCGTGGTCTACCAATCGTTGCACTACGGGCACCATAGGATACATGCACCCCTGGTGTTGCTGTTGTTGCCGCCACACTTGTTGATGACATTCCTCCAGTATTGTTTTGCTTTCCCCAATGTGGCATCGAAATTTGACGTCGCCTCAAATGATTGTTGGTAGTCGTTGTAGTGCTAGGACTCGCTGGAAATTGGTTTGAGCTTGTGGCTCGACGCATAGCTTTGACATGTTGTTGAAACTGGTCATATGATAATATAGATGCGTTTAAAATGAGCCTCCAATAAATGATGCAGGAGAAGATAAAGAAGGGGAAAAAAGTGTCAATCAACCCCAACTTAATCTATTCTTACCTCGATAGCACCAAAAAATGAAGTTCTAATGCCGACGCGTGGTGTCATGGGCTGTCGTACTAGGCGTGAAGAGATTGAGCCACTGGTACTTGTTGTGCGTGGAAAGCCTGTGGAATGGGTATCGATGCGTAAAGAATGCCTTGAAAGGGATCTTGCTGTCATGGGTCGAATAATGTGACCTAAATGGTGCTCCACAGCTCCTCCTGGTGTTGCAAATCCATGGATGGGTATGGACAACCGAGGTGGTTTGGATTGTTGTTGCCGTGCTAGAAAAGGGTATTTCGTCAATATACACAAATATGCAAGCCTTTCCATATTAACGCCCGTTCTTTGTTGTTCATCCGCTAACTCTCTTTCGCAACCCCTTAACTTACATGATCCGCCACCCAACAAGCGTGTAGTCTCATCAATAAGTTCCTCTGCTACTGATCGCTGTTCCTCCATTTTGCTGTTGGGCGCATTGTTCCCCTGAAAGTTGTAGGCTCCCAGCATGACGACCAGGACATAAATAAGGTAATATGCAATGAGGGCGATTCCATGATACCAATAAATGCATTGGTGATACACAATCCATGTAATCATCATGATGGCACCTGTGAGAAATGTTGCATCTCGCATAAATGTAATGCGCTTGGATTGGAACGGCCTGATAATCCCCATCGATCCTGCGACAATGGCCGTGATAAAGAAACATGCTCCAATCAATTCACCAATGGCTAACGATCCTGAACCAGAGTCCATGGCACTATGTATCAACGCAAAAGATCAGGAGATGGCCAAATAGCCCAACAAGGGAAACAAGGAGAATGTTGCATGTTGCATCAATGACAAGCATACAACAACAGCCACCAACCATACCTGAACGTGCTAAATAAATCAGGACTTCCATTTCCAAAAGCCAATACGGTGACGCCTGCCTAATGATAATAATGTCAGATGGACCATGTGTTGTGTGTGTATGGTGCAATGTAATACTTGCCATGCTTTCTGAGAGTTGTAATTTGGCGGATATGGTTTGGAGATTAGGACCTAAATGTGCGTTTTCAAGCATCAATAAAAAGTCATCAGGTGTCTCTTTTGATCCTTCTTACAGAAAAAGTCTGATGCCACCACGCTGACTGCGCCAAACAAGAGCAGCAATGCTGAGCACTGGAACAACAACAACATACATGCGAGAGTTACAACATAGGTTAGGTTGCAATCGAAATAATGAGAATGAGGAGAGGGATGGATAATGATGATGATCGTCATTGATACTTACCAAAGCAGCAACGGCGATAGGTTTCCATAGAGTCGTGCAATAGTAGAAGCGCAAGTAGAGACCACTGAAGCCATGGCATGCTGACTGCACAAACGTGCATTGATCCTTGTGCAACTCGATATTGGCGCACACCTATGTTGACATTGTGGTACACAAATATAACCGTTAGTGTTTCACCATTCCCTTTTACGCGATAAACTCGAGATCTGCGGCCCATTGGGAATGCCGATCTACCTGATGAGTCCAAGGATGTACCAAGTCGGCATCGATCGGGGCTGTCAAGTTGGTCGGAGGACGTGGTTGACTGAATGATGTTGCATAGACGGTACAGGTGAATAGAATCAAGGCACAACAGAGAATAAGAATTGATAGAGTGTGTGAGGGCATATCATAAACGGGTATGTGTGTGTGTAAAGAAGATGCAAAACAAGAAAGAAAAGGGAAATGTGAAAGAGATGCGTTCCGATAGGGATCACACTGGCCTAATTCCCCTTCCCCTTGATAAGTAAAAATCACACGCAGCAACAAGCAGCAGCAGCAGCAGAAGCAAGCAACAACCAGCCGCCGGGATCAACAGATGAAGCTATAATGATGACAAGGGAGCGCCCAGTATTGTTTCAACTCCTGTGTATATAAAGAAATGATATAAGGAGGCGATGTTATTGGGGGAGGAGAAGAGTTCACCAGTGGATGATGATATGATTTGATTCTTCGGGAGACAAGAAAACGAGGTACAGCGTCAAAGACACATACGCCGAGTTTTGATTCATTGTACATAAGTATCATCACTCATTTTGCTTTATTTTTTCCTTTTTTGATATTTCTTTTGGACCATCACACTTACTCGCGTGGATTCCCCCCAAATTATCATTACGCTTCACCCCCAAATACATAATGCTGTTCTTCTTTTATAAAAACCTTTCCTGGCCCTGGCATGAACGACGCTTGGGCTGTGTACAACCTATCCAAATCATCCTTAGCTCGCTTTTCGTAAGCCCACAAACCTTTGTTGAATATGTCATCAGACCCATCATCCTTCTTCTTTGTTGTTGCATAACGAGTTTCTTATTATATCCTCAGTCCATTGTTTGTGTATACCAATGCTCGTGCTTATAGCGTGCTGGGTTACCACTCTTGCACCGTACACATCATTCTTCACTCACATTTACACCACGAGACGAGGGGAAGGGATACACGAAGAAATGCAATTATGCATACCATTACAATCTATTTAGTCCGCAAAATTTACGCTCATCATCACCCCAATCCTCTCTTTTTTGTCGCCTCTACCCACAAAGATTATGCAGCTCATGGCTGTCACGGCACGTGTAGTACTAGTCGTTGCTATGCAACTAGCAACAATTCCCGCATTAGCTAGTAATAGACTTATCGTAGATGACCGCCAGTCAATCGCTCAACATGGTTCATCTCAATTGGATGCCCAATCGTTATTGACGGATAGAATTGCAGATGCATCTGCAGCAGCGAGGTACGAGAAACAAGAATGAAAAATGCTTCATATGCATGTGGTTAAGCCCCACACTGCACGTCTGCTGCAGCAAGCCCAAAAATTGCTCCTATTACCAATTACGTTTCTTAACAAACACGCAAAGTTTAGCCTACTAGTGCATCAAGAAGAAAGGCCCATCATGCATTATCACGAGACGAAACTTCCTGGTTGGAATGGGAAGAGGTGTAAAGCGTACGTGTGATACGAAAAATGATCACATCTCATTGACTTTTTATGCTTGGGGTAGGCTTGATAGTAATTGTAACAACATACGACGACGACAAAATCAGGCTTTACAACGCCGATCCAATGGCTTGAGATCGACAGCTGAGTGTACAGGAAAAAAGGAAATATGTGAAAAGGAATGCAAGGACCAACAAGGCTGTATTGACCGCTGCCGTATCAAGCTCCACTGCAAAAGTCCATCTGACGAATCTATTCAGCATCATGCAGCACAAGCCTCAACGACGTATCGTGCCCCTGATACTTCTTCATCGTCGTCATCCACAACATCTTCGGCAACAACGGCTTCTCAGCTCTCATCCCTTATGTCATTCTATTTAACGATGGTGTCAGTGATGGTGGTGGTTATGTGAACAATAGATGAAAATGTCATTTTCTCCATTTATGGATGTGATTTCTCCTTACATCCTCCTCCTCCCCAAAAACCTCCTTTGTCGCAAAAGGTGACGGTATTACACAAGATGCGAGAAGATCAATTTGAAAAGCAATCATTGCATGTAAGAAAGCTATCACTTGTTAATAAAGGTGATGGTTGTGTGTGGCACAAAGCGTTGATGTCTGAAACCAAATTCGCCCAAAAAGGCGCAAGCGCATATACGTTGATGAGCACATAGGCGTACATGCGCATGCATGATCTAGCAGAGACCATGGATGTAGAAAGACTGCTAAGAGAATGATAATCAAATAAGCTATTCATATATGGGAGCTCCCATTAATACTGCTACGCGAGCAGGTATGTATACATATAATGTTGGATGAATGAAGACGACCATGTTGGTGCATGTACTTGTTGAATGACACTATGACTCTAAGTTGCTATTGCTCCTTTTCTTTCCCCTTTGTCTAATGATGTATTAGTCATTGTCGGCTCTCATTCAATTCAGATGATCCCTTTCGTAGCGATGCATAATGACGAATAACTTGATTGACATGTATACACAAACATGCACACCACACTGCAGCATGAATGAGCTCAACCTTTCATGCCCCAGAGCTAATGGTCCATCTTCATCCAGCATTAACCCCACCCAATCTCAATTCCATAAGGTACTTTCAGTACGGAACCTGCATAAGATGACATCCAGGGTCGCAGATCCCTGCTGATGTTGAGTAGTGATGATGAATGGCTTCACTCCCTTTGCTGCTGGTGGTGGTTTGATGTATGCAAAGTTGACGTTGATGATGATGATGATCTGTTTTTCTTTAGTAATGGTAAAACATAACGAAGGATAAGCAGCAAGAGAATGGGATGGGAAAAACCACAATTGTGGAATGGTGGGAGCATGATGGTAAAGGTACATCAAACAGAAAAGAATCATCAGTGCATTAATGTTACACGGCTGATGCTGCTGAAAAAAGAAAAAGCATTAACGATGGTGGGTGAGCGAGTGTGAGAGCGTGTGAGAGATTATGTACTAGGATATTGAAGCGGGTAAGATAATAAAAAAGAAGGGATATTATAAACACAGGTTAACGTAAAAAAGGGAACACACGTCGTCAGCTCATGAGATGATGCAGCAAACACATTCATCTTGATTTGGACGTTGACCAGCTGAATGATTTGGTGTTGGTGAAGGATCCGATCGTTTCTTGCTGCTATTATTGTGGTTCTTGATAGCAGGGAAAGAGTGTCTTCGCTGGCCCAAAAAGTTGTGTGATGCTACTAGCACGCACGAGTTATCCGTGGTTGAAGGAGATGATCCAGACGATGACGATGATGACGACGACGACGACGACGAAAATTGAAACATGGCAGCTGTGCTATCCAAGAGGATAAGATTGTCCAAATCATCCATACCATCCCCACTCACGCGTAGAGTAGGGTTGCGGTATAATCCAAAATGGATCTCGCCTGCTGTCATTGTGCCGAGGTAGGGATCGGCTATAGCAGCCACCTCAGGTCCAAAAGCGTAATCATCAAAGATTTTGATTCGAGTGCGATTTTTGTATGCATTGTCAAGCATATCGAGATGTCGACTTGAAAGCCGCTTGTGATCCATCCCATCGGTTGAATACCAGTACGATGCCATTTGCATTCAAATGCTTCTTGAATTTTTGTTGTTGCTTAAGATACTAGCGATATTGATAATGCTGATGATGATGGTAGGAGCGACGTTGTGTAATAGTAGGAAACCAAAAAAGAGAAGGAGAGTAGTGGGGGAGTAAAAATTGACAAGAGGAGGGAGATGAAAAAAGAAAAAGAGAATACAAGAGCAGCAACCGAATAAAAGAGAGAGAGGCATTAATGCAGCTGTTGCTGCACCCCTTCCGATACGTCGAACCAGTAACTGTACCGTCTTTCGTGCGATAAACGGAGCAGTCAGAGGAATAGGGGTTCTTGTATCTTGTGAAAAATGACATCAAAGTGGCTCATACCCTGTTTCCCTCTCTTCATGGTCGTTTGGTCGTCCATTTTGTGAAAAAGTCTTTGATGTCAAAGTTTGACACATGGGAGACACAACATTGGATTACAACAGCAAACAATGAATATGGAATTCTTCTCCTCCTCATGATCCAACGCAAAGCCAACCAGCCAAGCAAACCTTATATGGGACAACAAAAAGCTTATTGAAGTTGGTTCATCTTCTCCTGTTCGTTCGAATTTATCCCCATGCGAAAAAACCAGCATGTTTCAGAGTCATTTTAGGTGGATGTGAAAAGCCATTAAACAATTGCTGCTGGCACATGTACATAGGATGCCAATCCGGTAATGTCATGTAATGATGACATTTGACCAGCACGCTTTGTGCAACACTCCTCTGGATTTGCATGGTACCTTCCTCTCCTTTTGCAATGTGAACTTTGTGTCATACGTTACATTGACGCGTGCTTTTGGTTTCATTTGATGGTAAGCGATCTCAGATGTACGTGCGTAAAAAGGTAGCACAGCAACGCATGTGTCCATCAACATCCATTTGGATGTATGTTATTGTGCGACGTAATATGGTATGCATAAGCGTGACACGCATAAACGGCAATACCCATCTCGTAAACGAGAGACTTTCTTAAGCGGTTGACATAGCACAGCTTGCAATACGTAGGTAGAATGAGGTGTGTATGTGTTCGTACGTTCAGGGATGGGAAGAAAAAAGAGCAATAGGGGAAGAGGAAGAAAGGGATGTGCAGGAGCATGGGTCTCTGTTAGGGGGAGAAAAGACACATAATTCTAGCACAGCAATGACACTGAACATGGCCGATCATATGCAGAGTGGCAAATGTCAATTAGACAATGACTCTGCTTATTGTGATTTTCATTCATTCTTGTGTTTTATTGGAAATGAACAACGTGTTAAGGGAAACATACTACAGCCATCAATCATACAACGTATGCAAAACATATACCCTAACTTTTCTTTGTTTGTATGCCCTAATTTCCCCTTCCATGCGTTGCGAACATCATCATCATTGCTCTTGCCACCGATTTGATAATCCATCACATTCACGTTGCATAACCCTTTGGCTATCACATTCCAAGTTCCCATTGATTGACCACAATACCATCACTACCATCACAGCTACACCATCTTGGCGTGCATTAATTTGACCTGTATGTGCATTGATTGGATTACATGTACGTATACTTCATTCATTGTATGGATGAGGTCTTGTTCCTTTTGCATCTCCCCGCTTCCCTCCTCGCCCTGAATCGTTTCCACATCGATCCACTGCAGCAGCCCAGATATGTAGAAATCGAAAGATGGTTGCCACCTCGAATTTCATCTTCCATAAAAGCCATGTATATTCTCGTATCCATCGGTATCAACGATCACAAGCACATTCACCCATACACACAAAGAAATAAAGCATTGAAATAGAAGTGTGGTTTATATATGCAAATTATCTATCCTTGTACGCACCCCTGGCCGATGTTTGTGGTGCAGGTGGCCTAGAACGTCGTCTCCATATGTCACACATGTCCCTTGCTGGTATCCTTTCACATTCAACGGTGTATGTTTTGTCGTTGCTTTACTCAGATGTATCCATATTTTCATTTTGCAGTGTTGTTCTATCGCTATCGATGATTTGTATTTCTGTGCAATCGAGGTTGGAGAGATTCAACAGGACGATCGATCCAGTTTTGGCAAATGAAGGCACCATGATCACGCGAATCTTTTGTCCATCAGCACCTTTTATAGAATACGCTTGTCAGCAACCCTTCCATCATCCATCGTAGTCCATGATGCGTCTTACCTTCAACCAAGCTATGCTCGAATTTGGATTGGTTACCAACGAAGTATACATGAGGGCTCTGTTCAACAATAAAGGGGTCTTGATCTTGGAAGGGATAACACCCTTGAAGAGAGAAAGAGGAAAAGTGTAAGTTAAAGGAGAAGAATTTCCCAAATCCTCAAACGTGATATAAAAAGTACGTACATAATGTATCAGGAGCTGATGGTGCAATGTGCCTCCAAAACATACAACGCTCTGCCAACGTTAACGGAGTATCCGCATCCACATACTTGAAAGCATCGTCGATGTTTTGTCCAGAAGTTCCAAGCACGCTATGTATACATTCACTTAGCATCCTGATGTCGATGGCTTATTTTCCTCTCACTTACACAACGTCATCCACCTTGCACCAATATGGATTTGTGACCATACGGAGATTCTTCATTGCATGAGATCTTGGGAATAATGATCGCTGCATAGCTTGCTGTGGTAGTTGCCGATTTGCAGGGTCCCGTTCCCCTGGCATGATATCAATGGGCATGGTGCCACAAAGTTCTTCGAAAAGCTCATCCAAATGATGTAATGGCTCGTAATCATATTGAATAAACTCTTGGCCGTATTTTTTCTATATCATTATGATTGAATCAGCATCTTCCAGCATATGCATTGCTCATCTCACCCTTACTGTAGTTCCTTGGTCCTCCGCAAGCTCAAGATCGCCAATGGAATTGCCTGCAATGATCAATCGCGATATGTTGGAGCATTGTTTTTGATCCTATCATATCCATGGTTGGTGATCAATCAATGAAGAATCCATCATCCTACTTACATCTGGACCACCCAATTCTCCTGATAGGTATTCAGTCAACAATTGTGTCTTGATATCAAAGGAGCCCTTGGAGCCGAGATCCAGCCCAGAAACCAAGGCAATGTACTTGTTGCTTTCTATAGCCTCTCTTGTCAGATCCACATGTCCGTGCAACTCCTTTATCATATACCTTACCTCGCTTTGGAAGTGGAAGCTGTTCTGGGATACCAGGATAACAGATTTCATGAACGTCAAAGAGGCCTTCAGGAGTTTCCTTGCCCAACAATCCCACAATCATGCCTATCCAATACACATTAGGATACGTGATCAACATATCAACCGTATCTTCTCCTCTCTTACCTGTGACCCAGAATTCCTTTTCCAATGCTGCACCTGTCAATACAATACGACCTGATTCGTCTTCAATAGATATGCGGTTGTCATCGGATCGATATTTTGCTGGCATAGCAGGGGCAATGAGTGCATGGTCCTTGGCAAGATCGTTCAAGACATTGGGTTTGAGATTCATATCCACATAGACGGTGCCAATAATGTAGCAGCGTTTGTGAGTGACATCGAGCACCTTGGGTACATAACTTGGCTTGTCTATGATCCTTTGTCAGTGGTCAAAAGTACCGTATCATTGGAAACCGCACACACGCACACACACACCTGTAAGCTTGCCCCACCGTTGCTCGGCCTCATTTTGGATAACTGGACGCAGCTTCAGCAATCGGATAAAGTATATACTGGCAAATTGTCGATGGAATGCCTTGTCTTTGACAACGAGTGTCGCTGCACGATCCGGTAGATCGTCAAAGGTTGCATCTCGGCGCTCGAGGTAGGCATGCTGTTCGGTCACGGGTCCACAGAGTTCGTTCCTTCTATCGATCGGTTAGTCTACTGATGCCAAGAGAAGAAATTGAACTTACTTGTCGCTCGAGCTTGCACTGGAAGCCATTGTGTTATGCTTGTGAATAGGTAGAAGAAGGAGACCAGCAACCAAGATACGCGATTTACGCGCGATCCAAATTTTCATTCAGCTCGCGTCAACGCGCATAGCGATAGCCATACTCAGTAACCCCCCCTCCCAGTGTCATTTAGTTTGCTTCATCTTCTCTTTGCTATGTATCTCATATCCTGTAAGAAGCTATATTAAGATAAAAATTGTTGGTCAAAGTGAGGAGCGTCGTGTGAATGTATATCGAGAGACCCTTATTGAGAAAGCAAATCCCATTTTTGCTCTTGGAAAGAGCCGATCTTACATAGCCAGGCAATTAGTGTATATCGCACACAGCTTTAATTATCATTAGAATGAGATGACGTTCAACACAAGCTTGTCTTGTACACACGCATATCGAATGTACCAATGGAGATCCTAGTTGCTTGGGAGAAAAAACCAAAAAGGAATGGTCTTTGGTGTGTGAGAATGATATTATGCAGCGGTGTCGCACAGCTGTGGCAACACTCTATGTCTATTTGGTGAGCCGTTTGGATACGAATATCACAAGACGTAGCTTATGCAATGACGCATTTGACAGCAAAAACGTCAATGCAACGTTCCCCTGACATGAATGTTGGTGTGCGAGAATCATGTGAGGGAAACGTTGTTTGTATGATGGAAAGTGGGAGAATGCATCAAGCGGGAAAAAAGTCAAGCACTTTATTCGCACTCTGAACAGCGTACGTAGCCACCGTGGATGCCACAACCTTTACCTTATCATTACCAAGATCCGTAGGGTGATGATTGAATCTATCGACGACGGCGGCGTAATGGACATGTTCAAGACAAAGACGCTGTATGATGTGTCACCAGAAATGATACACTACTTTCGGGTTATCCCCCCGCTTCATTCTTCCAGATTGGCAATACATTTACTACGTCGGAAAAAATGGGTTAAAGCTGGCAAAGGCGGGATAAGAAATGTCCTTCATGCAAACTTTCACGATGCAATGCTACCCTCTTGAGCTATCTTCAAGGTGGATACCCTATAGGGATACCCTATAGCTGTTTGATTGAGATGAAGGAATAGTCATGAAGGCTTCTCGGCTTTGAAACAAATGACCCAAAAGAAAAGTGAATGGAGCACATTGCTTGATAAAGTACAGCGTATCCTATGTCGTATCTTGGCGGTGCTTTTATGGCGCTGGGGCATGATGATGACGGGTATATGAAAAGTGCACTATTATTATTTAGAGTAACAGTGCCTAACATTTCGTGAGAAGATAGGGGGAGAGGCTGTGGGAACTGCAGGCGCATGATCTCGCCTATATAAAGGGCAAACAAAGCAAAATGCACCAAACACGTAATCACTCCTCAATCACCCCTCTCTTTCTTCTTTTCTTTTGTTTTCATCACAACAAGCATGGCATTCGTAACTTTTATGAAGGCTAATCCGGCATTAGCGCCGCTGTTTCTCTTCGCTGGAGCTGGTTGCGCTGCTGCTGTCACGTATGTTATCATTTATTATACCGGAAAACGCTATGGTCATGTGTAACAGAAATCTCATATTGCTTTCGTTCTTCTGTAGATATCCACGTAAGCATTCCCTACACCACACGTCGTCCATCAAACCATTTAGCGTAAAAATCTAATCACATTCATCCCTCCCCCACTAGTATACCTTTTGCGTACCCATCCAGAAATCTTGGTTGACCGCAAGAATAACCCTGACCCATGGAATCGTGTTCAACAGCACCAAAACATCAAGGTATGGAAAAAGAAAAGGAGGAACTGGAAGTGTAATGAAAAGGAGTGGATGCAGCTAACATGTTGGTTTACAAATAGTTCTTCAATGTCAAGCCTGAATTCTATGCTGCGCGCAAGAACCTTGAACGACCTTCATTCTAGAGCACTGGTGGATATGATAGCTAGAAGTATTTCAGGATGATTGAACATCTTGAGTACTAGTACTACTACTGCTACTATACAAACAAAGAATACATTTGCGTTTCCAGTTCTCATTATGATTCAAACAAACTGTTTCATTTTTCATTGTCTATAAGGCATTGCTAATTACTCATGCTGAACCTGATATCAAGTTGCAAATAGACACTTGGATACGGTTGCTACCATGTCGCATATAGATCCTGCATCTTTCGTTGTGTGCGACTACTCTCTAAGTCCGCCTCTTTCACTCACACACCACCCACTTCCTCCCCCACTCTCTCTCAGCTTCCATGACAAAAGACCTTGCGAGGAAACCACGTTTCACCAGAGCAACGGCATCTAGCAATCATCAGAACGATATTTATGGTCTCAATGGAACCTCGGATATGCCAATGTACTCGACATTGAAGGCTTTATATGACGGCCAGACATGGTTTGGTCCCCAATACGCGCGTGGATTGCCTGGTCGTAAAAGCATTGAACGTTTTGAAGCAGTCAAACGCCTGATTGAGGTATGCTTAAAGCCATTTGCTTGTATGGGGTTTGGTATTGAGTCTTTGTTGTCTCGCAGGCTGTTCCTCCTACTTCTGAAGCGGCAGCGTCAACACCACCAGCAACCACAGACGACTCCATGGTGACAACGACGACAGCAGCAGATACAGAAACCAGGTCTACAAGTCCCTCGTCACCTACACCACCACCATCATCATCCACATCTTCTCGTTTTGATCTTCGACCACGGCATCATCCTATTGCACTTCCAACACAATCTTTTCTCCAGTTTCCTGCATCATCCACAAGCGTACAAGGTGGTCCTGATCAACGACGTCGTATTCAAAAGGTGCAAATTGGTTCATATCTCATTGATGTGTGGTATCCGGCTCCTTATCCTGAAGAGTACAGTCAACTGGAAGTACTTCACATATGTGATTTTTGTTTGAGATATATGAAGAGCGCATTCATCGCCAAACGACACAAGGTTAGAGGATATGGATAAAGCGCATGTGTTGGTAACTATCTAACATTGGGCATCTCTTAGGCCAAATGTCCAATGAAGCACCCACCTGGCGATGAGATTTATCGTGATGGAATACTTTCAGTCTTTGAAGTGGATGGTCGAAAGAACAAGGTGAGAGTGATGTTTTCTTTTTGTGATTGAGGAATGAGCTGACTGGAGGTTGCGATATAGATTTACTGTCAAAATCTATGCTTATTGGCGAAGATGTTTTTGGACCACAAGACCTTGTATTATGATGTTGAGCCCTTTTTGTTTTACATTCTCACGGAGACCGATGTACATGGATGTCATTTTGTGGGCTATTTTTCAAAGGTAGGTGATGTGATGGTTTGGGAGGAGGGATGAAGGATTACAAAATGGTCATGGCATTGCTATGTCCCTAATGGGAACTAAGGGCACTGATAAACAGAAGCATAGGAAAAACAATCGTTGTTGGATTACAATTTGTCATGCATTGTGACCTTGCCGTCTCATCAAAGGAAAGGATATGGTCAATTTCTCATCGACTTTAGTAAGTGTAATAGGGATAGGGGCCACACAAAGCAATCGCTTACAGGATGTTTGCAGGCTACATGCTATCACAAAAAGAGGGCAAAATTGGAACACCGGAGCGTCCATTATCGGATCTAGGACTTTTGAGTTATCGCAAATACTGGACACGTCGAATATGGGAAGAATTGCAAAAGAATCATGGAATCATGAGCGTGGAAGGTAGGGTGAATAAACCCATCAACGAGGATTTTGATACTAACGAGATACAAATCAGAGCTGAGCCAAGCCGTGCATATGACAGTACAAGATACAGTGGATACGTTAGCAGCAAACAACATGCTTCGGTTCAATGAAAAGAGTGCAAAATACGAGATCCAATTATCCAAGAACAAGTTGCCCAAATCACAAAGAGGCCCAACAGCCAAAATGGAGTTATTGACATGGGCACCATACAAGACCACCACGGCAAATGGAGGTGATACTGGGGAAGTTGTGAATATCCCGCGTGAAGCAGCAGCTGTGGCGGCAGCAACGCATACTATTACATTACCAGCTCGAGGTAGAGGTCGACATCGCAAATCATCATCATCCGGATTACAAGACACTGGCAAGCGTAGGTCACGGAAAAGGAAGCTAGAAGAGTGATTCTTTATGTGTGTTCATTGTATCTTATCACTTTTGTTCATTTTATCCTGTGCATGCATATTTAATCCCTTCCCATTATTCAATCAATACACATACTTGCCATCGATCTATGTATGTATTCACGCAACATGGTGTAGCATGACATCTTCGCATAAAGTGACCGTGCACATATAACCATCAGGCTATTCCCAAATAATCATCTCCTTTCGACATCAGATTATCCATTGTATTCTGTAAAATCATGCTTCAAAAAAATAGTAAAACGATGCTCTATCGTTCTTGACATGGAAAAAAAGTAATTGGAGGGGTAAAAAGAAGGAGAAGGAATACTCTATGGTACAATGTACACGTGCATTTAGCGAGTAAAAGATGGTGTGATAGCCGTTGTCGACATGATTTGGGGAGCGGGAAAATGTTGTCATGTTTACTGTGTCTTCTTGTCAGCACGCACAGAGATGTCTTTAAGAGTGTCAAGCATATCAGAGCGAATGCCCGTGCTCAACTTGTCGATGGATTCGGAATCCTCCTTAATATCTGATGTGGGTACAGGTGGAAGTACTATAGCACATGACATTTGCATTTAGTAAAAGAGCCACTCTTAGGAGTATATAGAGCACTTACCCTTGATCTTGATAGTACCAGCATTGAAGCGCTTAGTCTTGGAATCATAAAAGGTGTTGTAATTGGCGACGACGATGGGAACAATAGGTACACGTGCTTGAACAGCCATGTAAAAGGCACCTTTCTTGAAGGGAAGGAGATCAATCTCAGCAGCATGACCACGAGTACCTTCGGGGAAAAGCCAGACGCTTGTCTAATAGCACATGAAAGAATCAGTAAGCATCAATGAACAATGAAGAGCACGCATATCCACACCCAAAATGTGCACATCGAATCTCAGCAGATCACCTTTCGAGTGATGGCCCCATTCCCCCAATCGTCTTCTTTGTGTGTCCATTCTCTCCGCTCAATCACCCATCCCTCCTCCTACTACGAGTACAATGACCACCATCCTTCTTATACATACCTTTTTGTTGTTGATGTTCTCAGCAGCTTGACGAGCTTCCTTGATAGCATTCTCACGGTTCTTTCGATCCAAAAAGATGGCCTTGCTTAATGTCACTAGAAACATTTGTATATATATAAGCATTATATCCAATATTCACGTGAAAAATTGAAAGCAGGATACTTACTGTACCAGCCGAGGAAAGGATAGTACTTGATAGCCTTCTTGGCAACAACTGAAGTAGCCTTTGGAAAGACGCTTGCCATAAATAAAATGTCCATGCTTGATTGATGATTGCAAACGTAGACAGCAGGCCGGGTTGGATCCAAGTATTCTTCACCTTCAATAGTGACTGAGAGCTTGGTAAAGAAACTGCACGAATAATAGTAGGCACGAGCCACGGACCAGTTGATCAGATCAGCTCTTCCAAACAATGGCAAAATGAGCGATGCGAAGACACCCCATAAAGCGCAAAACGCCATGCAGACGAGCGACATTGTTGTTTTATAGTAGAAACCACCATAAGGTCGATACAACACCGCTAGAGCTAGGATAGCAAGGGTCGAAGATATCAGAATGACCATTGAAGATACGAGTATTGAAAGTAAAAGGTCGTAAAGAGAGAGAGAGTATGTGTTATGAGTAGTTTTCAAAGGCGAGAACAACAACGAGAGAAAAGAAAGAGAGAGAGAGAGAAAGTCAAAGAACAAGCTCGGACAAAGTGAGACAAGATGCGTGATGAAAGTTAAACCCTCTTTTTATATCCGGGAGGAAGGCATCTGACCTACTAACTTAGGCCCAGCTGGCACAGACACATCTTTCAACTTCAGCTTTCTTTCCCTTCAAGCAGCACATCATGATCCTACTCGACTACTACAATGTTATCCTAAAGGATGCTCTTGAATCCAGACTGAAAGAGTAAGCATTGACTCAAGATGACAACGACATTGACCACTTGCATGGCGCCATGAGTAGCTAATCCTTCTCTCTCTCTTTTCCTTTATTGTATCGAAGGGGAAAACGCGATGGTATCGACATGAAGGTGGTCGACTTTGACGGCGTTACCTACAATATCTCGACTCCCGAATCAAAGAACGTTCTTCATATCTCGTTGCAGTGGGGTTGCTACCAGGAGTTGGTATCGCATGGAGCCACAGACGTGTTACAACGCGAATATGGCGATTATTTGGCATCTACTCCCGAGCCCAACTACGACGTAACATTGGTTATTGATTTGGATAAAGCACCTACAGACGCAGGTATGCTTTGGTGGAAAGGGAGATAGTGACATATTATCATGGTTGCTAAGATACGCATTAGATGGCCAAGATGCCCTTATTCGGAAGGTATCTTTGTTAAAGCGTAATCTCTTGGCAGCACCCTTTGAACGCGCATTTGAAGAACAAGCCCAATACGAAGACAACGAGAAGCCCAACCCCACATCAGAATTAATGGCAGTGCATTATCGTTCCGAAGAAGCCATCTACGTCAAGTCCAGCTTTGATCGTGTCACCGTTATCTTTAGCACCAAGTTTAAGGATGAGACCGACAAGATCTTTGGCAAGGTCTTTTTGCAGGCAAGTGTAGAGTGATTGAATCAAATGTCTTTCTATGTATACTGACAAGGGGGGATACATAGGAATTTGTTGATGCTCGTCGTAGACCTGCTCTTCAAAACGCTCCTCAAGTCTTGTATTCAACCCGTGAACCACCTATGGAGCTCCGTCATTTGGGTTTGCAGGATTCGCATGATACCAGCTATGTGACCTTTGGTAAACGTTGGGCGGTGGATGAAATGGATGCAGGGGGAAATGGCTAACGATGCATGATAGTGCTTTTCCCACAACACTTTGTCAAGGGTGATGTCCGTGAAGAGACCATTTCTCGAATCCAAATCTTCCGTGACTATTTGCACTACCACATCAAGTGCTCCAAGGCATATATGCACACTCGAATGAGAGCACGCGTCAGAGATTTCTTGAAGGTTCTCAACAGAGCTAAGCCTGAGAATGTCAATGCCGAAAAGAAGACCGTTAGGTAAGATCATCGTTGACATACATCATCTTTTATTAAAGAGGTTACTAACATCTATCCCATTATAGTGGAAGAACATTCCGTAGAAGCTAAGTCATTAAACTAGGCCATGGTCTCTCATTTCATTCACAAGATATCAATTGCTTCTATACAAATGCTTGTTGTGGATGTATGTGGTTTATGTGGGTCACGTGCTGTATAGTAGCCTTTAAATCGGGTGATGGGTTCGGGTCAGGATATGGTTAATAGCATGTGCAGCATTATTGATGTTGAACCATTATAATACAAAATACAACTTTTTATTCTAAAGAAAGACTTCCCATATCAATCGCATCATCAGGTGTGCTATTCCTGGGGGTATCTAATTTTGCCAAAGCCTCTCTTCTTGCCAATCCTTCCCTTCGTTTCCGTTCCTTACGTTGCTCTTTTGTCTCCGTGGCCAACTCAGTCTTCTTGGCAGTTACTTCCTTCTTCATGGCTTCTTCAAAGAGCTTCATGCGATCAGCATTCTGAGAAAACTTGTCATTGGACATGTGCATAAGTAAGAAAAGATAACCGGGATCGACAATGCAATGGATTCTCTTGGTGGATGGATGAATATAGGCAATAGGCGTATCCAACTTGTGAGTACTGCGGATGGCCAACATTTCTCGTGTACGTGAAGGTGTGATGCCACTGTTTTGATAACCTGCTTGAAAAGCCAGACTATTGAGACGCATGGATGCTTCCAACGATGCCGACTCCACATGAAGGATCTATTTGAATTCCCTTTGTATGAATAAACAAGCACATGTCATTGATCTTTTCATCTTACCAATGGCTCAAACTTGAAGTAAATCATTTGCCAATTCATCAAAGTGCTTGTAAGCTCATCGCATGCACTACCAAGTACAACACGATCACGTTCTTGTCCAAATAGCAATCGTAGAATCCAATCATTATCAGCATTATGGGGAATATCGACAGGATCATGTGTGACATACAACCATGTGCCACCCTTGGTAGTTGTCGTATCACAATCATCTTCAAGGCCTTCACAGTAGATAGCAATACGACCGGAACAGCTGCTAGTGGTGTAGTAATCGGGGTGCTCATTGATTGTGTGGATCAAGTCAAGGATCGGTGCGTCAATGAATCCTTTGGGCGATTTGTCTCGTCGTTCAGGATCCAAGGCTTCAACAAGCGAGGATACTACTTGGTGCTTTCGTGCTTCGAATGCTGATCGTTGATCTGCCATTGAACAGCGTTGTATTGGAGGAAGAAAATACTACAAGCTGTGTTCTGCTACCCCGCCATCCTGGATTAGTTGAGCTTCAATGGTATCCATGAGTGCAGGAACTCCATGACAACGATGACCTAATTTCCAGATCATACACTGCCACTTGATAGCTCCTTCCTCCCGTTCATCTCTGTTGCCCAAAACAATGCATGTGAACGATTCTCCTGGTCCAGACCATCATCTGCATCCTTCAACTTTCTTGATCCGAGTGGATTTGATTGAACAACGGTCAAACAAAGAAACATCATCCAATATCAGAAAAGTCAAATTCATGATTACTTGATAAACTGCCAGCTAATAGCCCCTTCCTTCCGTTCACCTTTGTTGCCCATTCTATGGCATGTGAATGATTGTCCTGCTCCAGCCCATCATGCCCATCATTTAACTTTTTTGATCTGAGTGGATTTGAATGAACAACGCTCAAACAAAGAAACATCATCTAAAATCAGAAAAAATTATCTGATTGATTATTCGTACACTGCCAGGTGAAAAGTTATATTTTTATTTGGGTACTAAATGACCATAG